GCTTCCATCACTACATCATATAATCCACCCATCCTCCCACCCATCCATTCTACACCCAATTTTTCGTCGCCTGCATCCAATTCCGCAGCGTCTTACACAAGTCACAATGCTGTCCTCAAGGCTATCACGGAATGTAAGTAATTGATGCAATTGAAAAATAATCTTTGTTGAAGCATTTTCTGACCTCATCGCAGTTTTTGCCTCGTGCGGCTTCGGCGGCGAGACGCACTCCCGCATTCAGGGCTCCGGCCATGTTTGCGCGAGGATATGCTGAGGGCGGCGACGAGAAGGTAAAGGGCTCTGTCATTGGTATTGATCTGGGTACCACCAACTCTGCCGTCGCTGTCATGGAGGGCAAAGTCCCCCGCATTATTGAGAACTCTGAGGGTATGTTACCAACGTCACTTTGGCTCCGACCGCAATACTAATAAAAACTTTTCACAGGTGGTCGTACAACACCATCAGTCGTTGGTTTCACAAAGGAAGGAGAGCGTCTTGTCGGTATTGCCGCCAAGCGCCAGGCTGTCGTCAACCCAGAGAACACTCTCTTTGCCACCAAGCGTCTTATCGGTCGCAAGTTCACAGATGCTGAGGTCCAGCGTGACATCAAGCAAGTCCCATACAAGATCGTACAGCACACCAACGGTGATGCCTGGCTTGAGGCTCAAGGACAGAAGTACTCGCCTTCCCAGGTTGGTGGTTTCGTCCTTGGAAAGATGAAGGAGACTGCCGAAGCCTACATGGGCAAGAACGTCAAGAACGCTGTCGTCACTGTCCCCGCCTACTTTAACGACTCCCAGCGTCAGGCCACCAAGGATGCTGGTCAGATCGCTGGTCTCAATGTTCTCCGTGTCGTCAACGAACCCACTGCTGCTGCTCTCGCCTATGGTCTTGACAAGGCCACCGACAATGTCGTAGCTGTCTACGATCTTGGTGGTGGAACTTTCGATATCTCTATCCTTGAGATCCAGTCTGGTGTCTTTGAGGTCAAGTCCACCAACGGTGATACTCATCTCGGTGGTGAAGACTTCGATATTACCCTCGTCCGCCACCTTGTCGACCAGTTCAAGAAAGAGCAGGGCATTGACCTGAACAATGATCGCATGGCTATTCAGCGTATCCGTGAGGCTGCCGAGAAGGCCAAGATTGAGCTGTCTTCTTCATCGCAGACTGACATCAACCTGCCCTTCATCACTGCCGACGCTTCCGGTCCCAAGCACATCAACACCAAGCTGACCCGCGCTCAGCTTGAGAAGATGATGGATCCTCTTATTAGCCGCACCGTTGAGCCTGTCCGCAAGGCTCTCAAGGACGCCAACCTGAAGCCCACTGACATCTCTGAGGTCATCCTCGTTGGTGGCATGACCCGTATGCCCAAGGTCACTGAGTCCGTGAAGAGTATTTTCGGCCGCGACCCCGCCAAGTCTGTCAACCCTGACGAGGCTGTTGCTATTGGTGCTGCTATCCAGGGTGCTGTTCTTGCTGGTGAAGTCACTGACCTTCTGCTGCTCGACGTTACTCCTCTCTCGCTCGGTATCGAGACCCTTGGTGGAGTTTTCACCCGTCTGATCAACCGCAACACCACTATCCCCACCAAGAAGTCCCAGGTTTTCTCCACTGCAGCTGACTTCCAAAGCGCTGTTGAGATCAAGGTTTACCAGGGTGAGCGTGAGCTCGTCCGTGACAACAAGCTCCTTGGAAACTTCCAGCTTGTTGGCATTCCTCCGGCCCACCGCGGTGTGCCTCAAATCGAGGTCACCTTCGACATTGATGCCGACTCCATTGTCCACGTTCACGCCAAGGACAAGTCTACCAACAAGGACCAGTCCATCACCATTGCCTCTGGTTCCGGTCTTTCTGAGTCCGAGATTGAGAGCATGGTTAGGGACTCTGAGCAGTATGCCGAGCAGGACAAGGAGCGCAAGAACGCCATTGAGGCCGCCAACCGCGCCGACAGCGTCGTTAACGACACTGAGAAGGCCCTCAAGGAGTTTGAAGACCGTCTCGACAAGACCGAGGCCGAGAAGATCAAGGAGAAGATTGCCTCCATGCGCGAGTTCATCTCCCAGAGCCAGTCTGGCGAGGGTACTGCCACTGCCGCTGAGATCAAGGAAAAGACCGACGAGCTCCAGAACGCTTCTTTGAGCCTGTTCGACCAGATGCACAAGGCCCGCTCTGAGAGCCAAAACCAGAGCGAGCAGTCTCAGCAGCCCGAGGGTGAAGGCGAGAAGAAGCAGTAAGCGCTTCAATCGTTTGCCTGGGTTTTGTGTTTTCCGTTCGTGTCTCTTCACGTCTAAAAGCAGGCGTCTTGCATTCGGCCGCGGTTGGTCTGTCAGGTCTACATGTGTAGACTTCCATATACCTCTCCGTGTTTGAGCATCTGTGTATCATATTTGACGATTTCTCTTCTCACATTAGCGTTTGTTTTACTACTACGGATCTTTGGTTCATGTCGGAATAACGAAAGGGTGATATCCTCTGGCGAACAAAAGATATATGGGATGGATGATGACGTAATCCATGGCGGAGCTAACGAGTGTACCATAGCCTGGAGTTGCGAGATGGTAGCGCTCAGCTAACTTCTCCGCTCTAAATCAACGATTGAAATGTTCATATGCATGTCTTTAACATGAATCCTTGGGTGCAAGATTTTTTGTTTCTACTCAATTTCTTCATTTACTGTTCCCACTTCCTGTCCTTGGCCGCATACGACTTGTCCAATAAATGTTATTAGATTTACCATCATGACCCACCAGATACGGGTTATTCAGGAAAGTCTGGTGGCCTGGTGCTTGTCCCGAGGCTGCCTGCTTCCGCTTACCAGGCTACCTTCATACTATGTATACACATCTGATATTAAAGTTTCAAGTTCCCCTCAATTTCACCTATGCATTTGTACGTACCTCGTGTTCATAATCCAATAAACTTGATCTCTTTTCCTGCCCACCCAGTGTACATCAGAGAGAACTCAAGCGTCGACAGAAGGGCCTATGGATTAAGGAAGCCTCTGCCACACACACACACACATACATTCCGAATCACTGTAACATTCCGGACGCGAGACTACTTGAGTCTATTTACAGCACGCGATACAAATCTACTGTCCAGTTCCAAGTTCAAAATGACCGAGGCGACGAACCACCCTCTCTCTGGATTATGGCAGCCCACACAATTGCAGAGACTACATTACGGCGCAGATTCTGTAACGAAGTATCTGATTGCCTGCCTCCCAAAGACATCTAGCAAGGCCTTTATCATTACGGGTACTTCGCTGGCTAGCAAGACTCCCTTAGTGAAGCAAGTCAAAGAGCTCTTGGGGGAAAAATATGCCGGGACGTTCAGCAGGATTAGCGAACATGCACCTGTTCCTGAACTTGATGAAGCGACCGAGTTGGTGAAAAAAGATGAAACTATCGACACTGTCATCTCTATTGGCGGTGGAAGTCCAATCGATAGCGCTAAAGCCATTAGCTATCGTTTCCACGAAAAGACTGGAAACTTTCTATATCACATTACTATTCCCACAACTCTGGGTGCAGCTGAATGCACCTTCATAGCAGGCTACACAGGAGTCGATGGAGTGAAGATAGGCGTCAGGGCAAAAGAGCTCGTCCCAAGCGTCGTCATTTATGACTCCAAATTTGCTCTATACACACCTGAGCGGCTATGGATGAGCACTGGCATACGTGCCATGGACCATGCTGTGGAATTGCTTTATCATCCCACCGCTTCTGAGATGCCTGCGCGATGGCTGGCGCTACAGAGCGCAGCGATTTTGTTCGAGGTATTACCCAAGTACAAGCAAGATCCCAAGGACGAGGACAACATCACCAGGCTCCAACTGGCTGCTTATGGATCACTAGGTTTTATAGGCTACAACCTCGAAGGTGGCATTGGACTCTCTCACGCACTAGGTTACGCCCTTGGTTCTCCATATGGCATACCGCATGGAGTTACATCCTGCCTTACGCTTGGTCATGTTGTCAAGCTGAAGGCCCAAGACCCCGCTGCTGCAGAGCAAATTGTCCGTCTCCTTCCGTTCATTGGTGAGAGTGCATCTGGGGACACCAAGGCGGATGCGGAAATAGTCGGGGATAGGATTTTGAAGCTGGTCAAGGACTTGGGGTTGGATAACAATCTGAGTAACTACAAGGTTGACAGAGATCAGATTCCTATTATCATGGAAAGAGCAATGGGCGGGATGAAGGATGGAGCTCTTTATGATGCTGTCGAAGGATTGGTGAAGGGGTTATTTGAATCATACATTGGATAAGGGGGTTGATCAGCTGGCTAGATAGGAAACGAGATGATCATGATGAGATGAATAATTTCTATTCAAGTCAATTTCATTGCAGATGACTTGTGATATATGTAAGTGAAGAACTTTAAGAGTGCACAAGCAGAGACCATCGGGATGGTTGTGATGAAGTTGCTCCAGGCTTTCATTTCGCTCGCTTCTTTCCGAGATGTGCTACTACAAGTAGCTTTCTATCGTATCAGCCTTGTCCGGGCTCTTATGTCCGAACTGGCTTATAGTTGACTAGTTATAGTCCGTGGTAATTAGTCATGAGCTATTCGCTTCGAGCCGGCTACTGGCAGCTGGCAGGCTTCTAGAACAGGGAACACCTCGGTCACAGTGTGCCAAGGCAAGACAGTGTTTTAATGGCCGAGACACAGGGTTTAGAATATTGGCATAAATGGGCAAGCCAGGTTCTGAATGGAAGAAAGAGGCATCGCGTCAGTGCACATGAGGGTAACTTTGGCGCTACAGCACAGCGCTCGGACCAATGACGCTACACCTGCCTTACGCCCCATTGCCGTCATGCTTGGAACATGATGCTCACCTGCAGGCACAGACGATCACCCTTCCAAACGGCCCGTCTGCGTCAGACACGAGACTAATGAACCACTCGGTCAAGGATCTGGTGTGCCCAGATCCTTTTGGTCCGCTTACCCCAACTTTTACCATTTATAGCTGAGGATCGAGTCTCCTAGATATCACCTTCTGCTAGCCAACTCGCCAGGCACCATGGCAGACACGCTCGCCGAGTCTGCGATTGTTCAAGATACTACTTTACCAGAGATTCCAGCTATTGTCGAACCCGATGTAGATGCGGACGAGCGTGGACGCCTGAAGCGACGTAGGCAATCATCTCAGCACTCCCCTCGCCGAGCCTCCTCCCCCTCTCGCGGCCATGATCGCAACAGCGGCTCGCGTTACCGAACCCACTACCGCAAGCATCACCGTCCATCTTCCCCCATATCATCCATCTCCCCGCCCACTTCGGTAGAGAAGAAGCTCAGACGGCGCAGTGATGCCGAGCCCGACCATACATTCAGGGGTCGAGCACGCAACAGAAGCATCGACCGAGGAAGAACCCGAAGTCCGCTTTTCGAGGACGAAGATGCGTGTGTAGAGAGCGATGAAGACGTCAAGAGGTTCAGAAAGAGAAGTGCACCGCCTAGCCGGCGCCGGGTGGATGAAGCGGATTTGGCAGCGGAGATTAGGCGACAGAGGAGTTATCCTAACCTTTACAAAGTGGACAGGAGGGACTCCAAGGTTGAGGATGAGCGGCACATGCAAGTGGGGACTGTGGGTTCTACAGAAGCTGCAGCAGCGCCCCACATGAATGATGACCGGCGACACTAGTATATACTTCTACATATGTCTGGCCTAGTCGCCCAGTATTATGGTGTGCACTAGCATAGTCTACGATGGCGCTGGGGTTGTATGTTTACATTTCATCCATAAGAGGACGCAGCACGGGGTATACCGTGGTCAGAGTATTTGACAGAAGATGCTTTTTTTTAATTCTTTCCTCTCTGACATACGTACATATTGCTAAGTCATCACTACGTACTACACTACTCGATTGCCATGTTGGCTTACATAATCGCATTGTGGCTGTGCATGTGGTGAGGTCAAGAGACGTGGCGCCTGCAAACGGCCATCTTGGTAGTAATACATACTGCAAAGACAGAGTGACTTTGGAGAATCGCTTTTGCACCCTGATTCTATCCGGCCGTCTCCGCACTGCTCAGCTCAGCATCGCGCTCGGCATCTCGAATCTTCCATACCGAGGCGCAACAAAAGGTGCCCCACGCCCCGCCGCCTACCAATCATCGAAGCCTAACTCCGCTCTCACTTCCGTTCGACGGTCCCCCAGCCTCGCTCCCCGACTACCTTGTTGACTGCGCCGTTATGCCTCCGCCAGGCAACGAATACGCCGCCGAGCAACTCAAAAACTCCGGCAACAAATGCTTCAAAAGTGGCGACTATGAAGGTGCAGAGACCCTGTACTCTCAGGCAATCCAGAAAAACTCGGCCAACCCGCTACTCTTTACCAATCGCGCAAATGCGAGGCTAAAGATGGAAAAGTGGGAGGGTGTCATTGATGATTGCATTCGGAGTATTGAATTGTTGAAAGACAACATGAAAGCTTTCTTCTACCTGGGTACGTATGGTTGATTGTCTTGACACGGCCCCGTCTAGTTTTTTAACCACGTCAAGCATAAAGACGTGATGTTAACTCAGGTGCTTGGGTTAATCGGTGTATAGCACAAGCACAACTTGCCATCAATCATCCAAATGAGGCGCTATCATCTGCCCTTATGGCCTACGAGTTATGCACCACATCGGCGCAACAGACCTCCAATGCCGCCACCATATCTGCCCTAGTCCTGAAATGTAAAAAGGCCAAATGGGACATTCGGGAACGGGAGCGCATAAGAAGACGAGGGGACCTTCTCTCGGATCTTGAGTCCATGTTGGAGACACAGTACAAAAAAGACATGGATGAGATAGATGCTCGCATGGAAGCTGGGGATACTAGTCGAACAGACGGCCAAGAAGAGAAGGCAGAGCGGAAACAGGAATTCGAAAAGAAGCGCGATGATCTACGAACGGCATTTGCCATTTCAGACCCCGACCACCAACAGAAACGCGAAGTGCCAGACTACCTTGTTGACGGTATTACGTTTGAAATCATGCACGACCCGGTGGTCACAAAGAATGGTCGGTCGTACGAGCGTGCGACGCTGATTGAGCATCTGAAGCGCAGCCCTACCGACCCGCTCACCCGAGAGACGCTTACAATCAGCGACCTGAGACCGAACATTGCACTCAAAGAAGCTTGTGAAGAGTTTATGAGTGCGAACTCTGGGTGGGTGTATGATTGGTAGGTTTGCGCGACTTTATTCGCCGGCGATTGAATTGGTAGGTATGTGGCACGGGAGTTACGTGTTGCGATAGAAGAGAGTTGGGAAACAGTCGCTGACAATGGTACAGTGAGAATGGTGAGATGGATAGAGATGCACGTTGGGCGCATCTTTCATCAAGCTAAGCTCTATAATTTCTTTAGAATTCCTACATCTAGTTGAGATTGTCATATTTGCATTACGAGGCGTTGGTTGGCAGTACACCTTCCCCTGCGTACGTACTATTTAGACCGCATTGAGCGTTGTTGAATCAGCCATAGTTTTATACCCACAGTCTTGTCCCCTCTGTTGGTGTGTTTACCCTCTTTTTTGCGCTTACGATTTTCCGAATTCTCGTACTGCTAGATTCCAAGATTCAGGTAGAACTTGAGACTGCGCTCAAAGCAGAGCAAGCGAATATCGTTCAATGTGCAACCATGTGTACGGAGAAAACAGCGAGTTTTCAGAATGTCCGCACTGACAAGGAAAACGATCAAACCGAGTTTGGGACAGGAAGTTTTCTGCTCATAAATATGGTAGACGGTCTATGACTATTCTATCTAGAATTTGTTGTGCTTGACTTCGCTCCTGCCACATTCCTCTTTCTCAACTTCTCGCTTGCATGGCCTCTCACCTACTCAAGTATAGCGCCTTGACCCAAGTCTCCTTTCTTGGTGTAGCTGGTGTTTACTCTCACATGACCACCTTGTCGTGCGATTATAGTATTCAAATCCCTTCATTATACAATTTGTCCAACTCTTTCGAGTACTTTCTCAGCATATCGGCCTTTCTGATGCTCCCTTTTGCTGTCTTCAAGAAAGGCTCTTGAGCAACAATAACCATGTCTTTTGTAACCCGTGCGTAGAGCGGTGAGTCGACGTTCACTTCCTCGATTTTGCCCCACACATCATCCAGCTTGAATCCCTCCTCCAGCCTGACAATCAGCGCAGCTTTCGGTCGACGTGTCCCTACAATCAGGGCTTCAGTGATACCAGGGTGCGACGTAATACGCTGTTCAGCGATAGCAGGGAAGAACTTTTCGTTGGAGAGGAAGACCAGCAGGTCATCTATTCGGCCGTGATGTTTCCACAAATCTGTGGCTCTTTGAGATCTTATGAATAGGTCGCCCATGCTTTTCTCCTTGAGGTCAGGAAAACATCTGAACAAAGGCTGCACATATCCATCCCAGTCCTCACCGTTGTTTCGCACCATGACGGCTTCGTACATGGTTTGACCAGCATCTTCGGAAACAGGACGGAATTGCAAGTTAAGTGCCGGGTGGGGAGTCATATATTCCCATCTTCCATCACATTTCATATCATCGTCAGTTCGCAGGATGTTGGGCCAAATGCCTTGCTCGGTGGATCCAATTCCACAGACCAGATGTATCTTGTCTGATATTGTGTCGCCAGATGTGCGAGATACACTTCCACCGCCATATCGTAACGAGTGGCTCCGTTGGACAATCTGATCGAGTTTTTCGGGGTGCTTGGCCATATACTCTATACACGTCGGCACCACCGACACACAATCTACTACCTTCTGCGACACCTCAGTCGCACTTCCGCTCGCCGCTACTCTCTCTGTATGCAGTGCTTCTAGAGCTGATATGGCACGATCCACGGCTTCTTCTGGTGTTGCTCCTAGTTGCGAATAGATGGGTTTTGTGCCCAACAGCAAAGGGTACAGGACCATGTTAAAGATCCCGCTTGCATGAAAAGGGGGGCCAGTCACCAGCAATCGTCCACGGCGATCCTTTTGGTAGCGTATATGATAATCATGATGGGTAAAGCTGGCTGGCAGTGGGAGGTTGAGTGTCTGCGATTGACTAGCAATCCAATTGTGCGTCCATAGTATGGGCTTTGGAAATCCCGTTGTGCCGGATGTATCTGTATTGCTAAAGGTAAGCTGTTCATTCTCTGTCGCTTTTCCGAGCAACAAGTTGAAGCGGGTGAAAGGGTGTTGTCAACTTACGTAAACATATCATAGGCTCGTCTTTACAAGTCTCAAAGGTCTTGGTGAAAGGATATACCGCTACTCTCTCCGCAAATAGCTGATCCACACTAGGTGCTTGAAGTTTTGTTACCACGCCTTTTTTCTTCTCGATGATATCTGCTTCGGCAGGACACGGTGTCTCGGGGCTCAGCAAAACTTTCGCATCTACGGTTTCGATCAACTTTCCCAAAGCCTCGGATCCATACCGTGGTGAGGGGAAGAGCATCTATCATTTCCTATCAATCCTGTTTCTGACAAATATGATGAGACTAATGAATCACAGACTTACCTTGTATCCAGCAACTACACTCCCCAAACAAAACACTGCATACCGGATATCAGTTGGCCCCATGTACACCAATGTCTGACTTCCATTCTTCTGCTCCTCTCCTAGCTTCCCTACGTTCTGGTCGATCCACCACGCAAACGCATTGACGGCATTAGCTACCTCTGCAAACGTGAACCTACGATATCCTTTCGATATATCATCGGGATCACGCGGAAACCGGGCATAAGAAAGAGAAGGGTACTGGTCGGCAATCGAAGAGAGAAGAGCTGGAAGCAGTGTATGATGGAGTTTTGGCCAGGTTTTGGGACCAGCTGACATTATTGCCTTGAAATGGTTTGAGTAACAGTCAACAAGGAAAACAAGAGAGCTTCTGGTTCAACAAGTACAGATATATACAAAGAAACAGGAACACCGATGATACCAATGTTACTAAGGTACTACATTAGCTTTCTGGGACGATGACGTGTAAGCATAGTACCCCGCACAGCATGCTGGGTCTTCCTCGTGCGAAACCATATATCCAGTACTACCTCAGAGGTACATTGTGACAGCGCATCTTGGCGCATCTGTACTACACACGGTACGTATATAGTACATGACGCCATGGACCTTGGCCTTGTTTTTTGGACCAAACTAGCAAAGTTTATCCCAACCACCTTGTCACGACTGCCGAGATATTATCTGCAGCAGCAAAGGTTAAATTAAAGTCCCTCGCATCCGAGAGAGGTGTACTTATACGTAGTAAGCTTGGCACGTCTCGTTCCGCTTGTTTAGGGCAAACCTTCGGACACGCGTGATAGGGCTACGTACAAGGTGGGCTTATCTGATGACTAGTGTAAGCACTAAAAGCTGCGGTAGCTTCACATGTCTTGAGATAGCACAAGGATGGTGTTTCTTTTCCAAAAAAGGATATGACAAAGCGCTGACATTTAAGTGACTAGGAGACTTGAGCGCAGCGGATCGGCTTTTGGCCCGGCAATTGTAGTAAGTATGTACCAATTGTAGTATGTACACATGGAATAAATTAGGAATCTTCTCATTCCTTCTCTCCCTGACTCCGTCTCAAACGTTTCCAGATAGTTGCTGTTTCCATCCTGCAGGACAAGTACCTGTACATGCCAGTCCACTGTCGCTGTTGAAATTGCTGCAAAGTATCTTGGACTGCCCACCATTTATTGGCTTGATATTGATATCCTTGAACTTGAGACCCGTGCAAGGCGTGCTCTTACTGCAGTAGATGGCTGCAGCGACATTGTACCTCGATGTACCCGTGATGTTTTGCCAAGTAATGTCGGAGATTTTGAGGTGCGAGCTATCGCAGCCTGTGTACGAGTAGATGCATGGTGTTACGTACAGGGGTTGATTGACGTCAGTAATTTTGAAGTTGCGGAATGTCACGTTCCTGACGTAGCCTTGGCCAGGGTACGTTTTGATCCATGCGGCATTGGAACTGTCGAAGGCTTGGATATCTTCGAAGACGACGTTTTCAACTGTCTCAGGGATGTTGGGTGGATTGCCCAAGGATCCGATGACCATGGCGCCTGAGCCGTAGCATGTGGCGTTCTTGACGTAGACGTTTGTGCTGTTTCCTTTGACGGAGATACAGTCCTGGGAAGAGATGGTTAGACTTGTGCATGTGCTGGGGCAGGATTGACGGGAGAAGGCTTACATCGCCGCAGGTCACGACCCAATTCTTGAGTACAATGTCCTGTGAGTTCCAGCTGTCGAAGCCATCGGTGTTGACGGTGCTCCATTGCGAGTCGGAGACGGCCTTCATGTCCAAGTTTGTCATTGTGATGTTTTGCGAGTAAGCGACAAATGTGTGCCTGCCATGTTAGGAACTATGCTGGTTCTAGGTACAGTACGAGGACTTACCAGAATTGCACCTGTCTCCAAGTGATACCATCAACCACGGCATTCTTTGCATGCCATAGGGTCAGACTGATAGGCCTACCGGCCATGTTGGATCCATCTTTGTTGGCATCGTACCACGCCTGGCCGTTGCCATCAAACAACGCCTGGCCATGGCCCAGGACCGAGAAGTTCTCGCCTCCCAAGCGGAATGCCGTGCTTCTCTGCTGGAAGACGACACTGACACTGTTCTTGACCCAGTATTGAATATCGGCAGTCCAGGTGAGTTTGCCGCGGATGTTGATCTCACAGTTTTTGAGATCAAGGACATCAATGACTTTGGCGATAGTGAAGTTACCCGCTGTGATATCAATCCTTCCGTTTTGTCCACACTGCTTTAAGGCATCGAGGATGAAGCCGCTATCATCAGCTGATCCTGAGGGGGTAACCGTGCACACCGAGCCCACCTTGGTCATGGCACTCAAGGCCGGTGTAGCGATGAGGCATAGCTGTGCAAGCTTGGTTAGAAGCATCTTGAAAGTGAGTGAATGAATGGAGAAGTGAATGACAAGCTTTTGCGGGGCATGGCTTGGCTATATATCAAGACTTGGTAGAAAGGCTTGACACTGAGATGCTGGGGTCCCTGAGGTGGAGATGTGCCTGCAAATACCTCCGTTGCACAGTGCACATACAGAATGGGGAAATTCAAGTACGAACAGTTGTACATTTACAGGAGGCTATTGGTGCGAATACTTGACTAGTGCCCGTCACTCCGCAAAGTTGGCCAATTTAGCCAGTCAGTGCTCGGCTTTTTAGTAGTTAGCAATTTATCTCAAAGTGTCTATCTTGTTCTGCAGGCACTGGAAATAGCCTGATGCCGCACCACGAGCAGGCACGGCCATTTGCGATTAGTGCAAATACTGGGACATGGCGGTTCGGGGGCAGTGTGAAACATTGTAATCAGATATTAGCTGGTTACAGGCCGTGTCAGGTTGTCAGAGTAAGCGGCAAGGCGACGGCGGAACAGCAGACTGGCGTGATAAGAAGCCAAGAGTAATCGAAAAGACGACAAGAAGATTTGCATGCTACATTTACTGGAGTCTGACAGATCTGACGACATGGATGGTGGGAGAGCAGATCAAGGGGGTCCCACGGCACGGCATGTTGGGGTAACGGGTGCCAAGCCCACGTCACTGGGTGTTTCCGAGATTCGCGGCTCCAAACGCCCGTAACTTGTCGTTTGTACAATCGTTCACCCGAGCGATTGCCCAGCCATTGAAAGTCGCACGGGCTGCGCACGACACTCGCGATGATGAACAGTGCTGCCAGCCTGCGGGCTCTGCGCGTCCGGCCCTCGATACCGCGACATCGCCCGACCCACCGCCCGCTGTTGCAGACACCGACGAGATATGCCACCATATCGACAACAGCCACCGAGGCCGCCACAAATGTCCGATCGGCTGGGACCCGCACGAAGAACTTTATTTATGGAACTCTGTTGGCTGTGGGGGGAACCTTTGGATACCTGTACGTTACGGACACGCGCGCCAGCATCCACCAATGGCTCCTTGTACCTGCGCTACGAGTGATATACCCAGACGGCGAGGACGCACACCACGCCGGCACCCGGATGCTCAAGGTGCTGCATAGTTTCGGAATAAACCCCAGGGAGCGTGGCGTGGCCGACTCGCAGGGTGATCTGGCAGTCGAGGTCTTTGGTCACACATTGAACAACCCCATTGGAACATCTGCGGGCATTGACAAGGGCGCCGAGGTTCCAACGCCGCTGTTCGATCTGGGCGCAGGCGTAGTTGAGGTCGGAGCCATCACGTTAATGCCGCAAGAAGGCAACCCCAAGCCGCGTGTCTTCAGGATCCCCAGCCAGAACGCGCTCATTAACCGCTATGGATTCAACTCAGAGGGCGCAGAACTGGTTGCTTCAAGATTGCGACAGCGCGTGCGAGAGTTTGCATACTATGCAGGCCTGGGGCTCGACGAGGATGCCGAACGACAGGTGCTGGATGGCGAGGCTGGTGTACCGCCTGGCTCGCTTCATAAAGGACGCCTCATGGCTGTGCAGGTCGCAAAGAACAAGACGACTTCGGAAAACGACATTGAATCCGTGGTTCGCGACTATGCCACTGCTGTTGGATACGTGGGAAAATATGCAGATATTCTTGTAGTCAATGTCTCGTCGCCCAACACCCCCGGCCTCCGCACTCTCCAGAATGTCGAACCATTGACAAAGCTTCTTTCGGGTGTTGTTGGCGCAGTCAAGAAGATTGACCGTAAGACTAAACCCGCTGTCATGGTCAAGGTCAGCCCAGACGAAGACTCGGAAGAGCAGATATCAGGCATTTGCGAGGCCGTGTGGGATTCTGGTGTCGATGGTGTCATTGTTGGTAACACAACCAAGAAGCGGCCAGACCCGCTTCCCAAGGGCTACCTTCTGTCCCAATCAGAAGCGAGCATTCTACTTGAACAGGGTGGATACTCGGGCCCTCAGATGTTTGAGCGCACCCTAGCTCTGGTAAAGAAGTACCGAAAGGCACTTGACGAAGGCCCAAAGCAAATCACCCTCCCCACGCAACCTGAAGACATCAAGCTTTCCACTGGACAAGAATCAGGTGACGAGTCAACCAACTCTTCGATGACCAAGCCTACCCTCGATCTCGAGCAACCCGCTCCTAAACCCACATCCTCAGACTTTGATGACATCTCCGAATCTGCACCTCTTGTCACTCTGCAATCTACACTCAAGGCCGCGCCCGCACCAGACGCTCCACGTAAGGTTATTTTTGCAACTGGAGGAATCACCAATGGCCGGCAGGCACGCGAGGTTCTCGACGCCGGTGCGAGTGTAGCACAGGTGTACACTGCCATGATTTATGGCGGTGCAGGCACAATTACCAGGATCAAGCAGGAGATGAGGGATGATGCCAAGGCACAAAAGACCATTACCAAGTCTTAGTGTACAAAGCCCATTAGTGACGATTGGTGTTAGACCATATGTGTTGTGTATACCAAGATTTCAAGCGTGTTTACTTTAGCTAAAACAAAAATAGACGTGTACCATGTTTTCAAAAAAGAATGAAAACTAATCCATGTTCCCTAGTTTGCAACTCGAAGATTATATATACAACAATCCCAACATACCCAGATCGACAAGCCATATATATATATACATGTGTCTTCCGTTTTTTCCCATAGATCAAGCAACTTATGCACCAATCTTGCTCTCGAGGAACTCTGGTGCAGGACCAGCAGCATCGTCGAAGTAGGTAAAGTGCGCGGCGGTAACAGTAAGAGTGCCTAAGCACACCAAATCACCCGCGGCACAGAAAACTTTCAAGTTGTCAGCAGGGTACGACGGGATGCCGCCGTTGTTCTGCTGGTTCTTCGTGTATCCGAAAAGTACAACGCCCTTGACCTGTGCACGAACGGTCTCGGAGAGCTTGGGGATTGCGCCAGCCATGACAGCAGTACCTTGACTGTTCTTTTTATTAGAAAAGTGCACACAGTGGAATTGGGGGGGGGGGGGAGTGGTATTTACCTGTAGCCACCCGACACAACGGGGGTCTCGGGGCACTTCTGGTTTGCGAGCTGGAACATCTTGACGGCTTCGTCGATGGCGCCTTGAGAGGTACCGGCTGGTAGGGCGTTGGAGAATAAATCGGCAGTGTAGGGCGAGCCGATACCTTGGACCCAGACGCCGTTTGCGCCGTATTTGCTCTGGAGCTCCCTTGCGACTATGGGGCCGGTGGAGGAACCCTAGTGGCTTTTGTGAATATGGATGGTTGTTACTGAAGTTGATTATTTGGCTAGACTTACCATGTTTCCGGACTCGCCGCTGGCTCGGGCAAAGATGAAGATGGCCTTGGGGCAAGAACCAGCCTGGCCTTGCTTGAGATCGTTGCTGGTGCTGGAGCCGAGTTGACGGGCTTCGAGGGCGGTCTCGGAGCGCGTGGTGATGGGCGATGCTACCGCCAGGGCAGTCATCATGGAGAGGATGAAAAACTTCATCTTGATGGTATATTTGATAACGTAAATATAAGTTGAAATGGTATATAAAAGCGAATGAAGTAAGCAGTGGTAAAGTTATGAAGTGAGCGGTGCCTTGATATCGGTTTCGTTTCACGTAAGGGGAGCAGATATATATATATATATACATATCTTCACTCACCACACACCATGTCATACATCCCGACTCGCTGGTTTTCCAAGATACCCACCCACACTGTAGTGCCACGACCTCGGGCATCGGGCAAGGAAAGAAAGGAGTTTCGTGTAGCACCAGGTTTACGCTGACTAGGCAGCGCTGATCCCCGAGCAAAAAAAGCAAACTAAGACTGACCTTCCATCAAATAACGAGGCTATGGTGCCGGTGTGGCGTAGGTATTCGAGAATGGTGATTGGGTGGTGTCCTCGTGCCAGACGGGTGTCGGACACACCAGCCGTTACGACACCAATGGTTGTGCGCCCAGAGAATAGAGTTTACATGACATATTGGCACTGCAGGCCGTTCAATCGGGCAACGGAAAACGGTAAAAAGCAAGTAAATGGGCCCGTTCTCTTCTTTACTTTTTGCTTCGAGAAAAACGGTTCGCCTAAGGGATGTCTCAGAAATCTTATCATCGAGTAAATGACGAGGATTAGTAGATTCCAGCCCACCGGGTTCGTGAGGGAATTTGTAAAGTGATGTGTGTATTTGTATGAGTCTAGGCTTGTAAATCATTTGCGACACACAAAAGCAATGTGCCTCGGTCAAGAAGAGAAGTGTGCATGGCAGGAGCAGGATAGGATGCCGGTAGTGTTCCGTTAGCGTCCGCACCAAACTAGCGGACCCCATATAGTAGCAATGCCGTTCCCAACCCAGGTAGAAAAGCCTCCGTGTCACATAGGACGTAGGAGCATGTCATTCGTCATGGTAAATCCACTGCGCTGCTAAGCAGCTAGTCATTCAGAGGGCATGTCCATCAGATGCCAAAAGAAAGCAATCGTGATTCTGACCATCATCAGCACTTGCTTAAAACACCATCTGTCTATATGTCCAAATTGGTCATTCCCGGGGACAAACCGGCAAATACAAGCCGAGGAGCACATACACGCTAAAGCATCCGGTCATCGACTCAAGCACAGCGCTCTTGTTCAGGAACAGTCTTGCTGTTGCCAAGCCCGCAATGCACCAGCCCTTTAATCAGACTTCCCCCCTCTTTCAGGAAAAAAAATAAAATAAAAGACCTGGCCCCCATATCCGCCGGTTGCCGCGGAACCTGCGCGATATGACGGGTTGAGAAAAAGAAAAGAAAAACCTGCCTCAGATGCGCCCCATCGACGAACACCAGGTGGGTCCTTGCGCATCGCGACAAGTTGTCTCAGGTAGATGGGGTTTCTCAAGCATCACATGACGCTTTGAGATTGTTGTGCAAGATGCGCAGCGTGAAGTGGACAACCTAGCTACTCTTTTGAATCATGAGTGATCGACTTACATACACGTCGGCCGGGTAGATCGTCAGAGCTAGTAGTGGCATTTTACCCGTAGCACATGATGATCATGAGCGAACGAGGATAGGGGCTTACTGAGTACGACCACTCTGAAGCACACTGCCGAGGCTGTTTTCCTTATTCACAGATGCAAAGGATTAACTAGGAAAAGGAACTTTGTACAACGGTCAATATAGTATTAGCTTGAGTGTTTCTACACTGGCGATCTGACGGCAAGAAGACCAAGATAGGTGAGAGGCCCCGCTGGCCCACTACGAAATAGACATTAGAATTAGTACCTCAATCGTCTCGACCCCATCTGCTTGACCCACTCAGCATCTCTCTTACTCAACTCGACTGCACTTCTCTTCTTCTTGTCACCGCCTCCGATATTAGCAGCTGTGATGTTTCCACACTCGGGTGTCTTGAGTCTCTGTCCGAATTGATCAACAGCCCAGATCAGCACACCGTTCGACCAGCCAAAGCCTTCGACGACTTCGTATTCTCCACCTCCACCGGCAGCATTGGTGCTCTCGTCCGAGTACTTCTCGAAGATCGTGCCGTTACCTTGGGAGTTAGGAAGCTGGGGGACGTCCGCTGTTGCTCCACCAGTTACACGCCAAGTGCAGTACAGAGAATCGAGATAGCGTTGTGCGAGTTGGAGGGCGAGATCTTGTGTCCAGACGTAGTCTTCGGTCGTTTGCTCATCGTCTTCCTCACTGACCTCGAGTGGTGTGTTCAGCAGACCCTGCATAAGGATGTATTGTAGCGGGGGCCAGACATTTGGCTTGTCCCATTGTTGACCAGTCACAAGATTTGTTGCTGCAATGGCGCCAGCTTCTGATTCTAAGAGTTCCTCTATTCGGGCGTATACCCGCCGCATGGCCTTTGGATCGTTCTTGATGCTGTCTGGCGCCGCTCCAGTCCAGAATGGATAGAATTGGGAGATCGCAAACCATACCTGCTGGCCCTCTGGTGCGCCCTGGAGCGAAAGGGGTGTACTAGTGTTATCCCTGAGCGTGTAGATATTCTTGCTGCTAGATGTAAGGTTGTAGTCAAAGTAGCTATAGTGTTCAGAAGACCACAAGAACGTCGTCATGGCCTCGCTACGCTGTGCAGCTCGTTCAGCCCATGCTCGTGCGGCGCTGTAGTTGCCTTGGTGGCGATAGAATTCCGCGATGGTAATCTCGTTGTGGTACAGGATCGAATTCAGCTCTACAGGGATGATTTCTTTGGTGTTGAGGGATCGGAGTGGGAAATATGTATCGGTAACAGCATCGGAAGGGTTTGCAATCCAACGAGCAGAGTAGTCCCAACCACTTTCAGCGCCTGACGCTAGATTCGAGTAGAGCGTGGCTTTCTCGGTTTCGGTAAGTGGGGTTGTTACATTGAACTTTTCGCCTTCTTGGTTGAAGTAGGTTTCATTGTTGGCAGTCACATAGTCCTCGTAGAAGGATTCCGGGCGTGGCTGAGTATTCGATACAGCGTAGTGATTTAGCGAGTAGTTCCTACCGGCGCGTTCAAGCATCACCGTGCGGTTAGTGATCCAAAAGTCATACTCTTGCTCAAGGATAGGCAGAGCACGTTCCAGTAGCGTATAGTTTTGCGTGTACTCTACATAAACGCGAACCATTTGGGTGAGAAGTGGTGGCTGGGATCGATTTTCATAATATCGTCGAGCGCCATTTGGCACAAAGCCGATCTTTTCGACAAGATCCAGGAAATTCTCAATGATGTTCTCAGCGATTTGAGTGAATGATCCTTGCGTACGGAGGAGGCCTTCAATGATCCAGAATGAATCCCAGTAGTACGGCTCTCGGAAACGCCCACCTGCAACCACGAAGGTGCGGTTCACAGGGATGAATGAGTTAACGCAGCCAGTGCAATTTCCAGCTCCAACATAGCGACGCGTCAGATCTGGCCAAATATCTATGACCTTGCGGGTGAAATCTGCTACGGTGGAGCTGTTGACGTTGTCGAGGAAGTCTGGCTGAGTCTCTAGCTGCTCCGTAGGAACTTCTTCGAGTTCGGAACCGGCCTTTCCAAAGTATTTGGACAGAAAATCGTTAAGGGCAGTGTCGTTCTGGATGGGTCGAGAAAGATTGGCGAAAGCGGCGAGGACTTCGTCCAATGGGCGTATTGTTGGTCTACGCTTTGTTAGAAGGTATGAGACATGGTCTTGGCAGCACTCACAAATCAACAAACGTCTTTGAATCCGTAAACGGTCTTGCAAGCTCAATCTCGCGGAGCAAATCACCATAGCAGTATATGGGAGAGTTGCAAGGTGCGGTCACGCTGCCATTGGTATACAGTGCATTTGCTAGAGGTGCTGCTGTCACAAGAGCTGTAGCCAACAATCGTAACGAAGCCATTATTTTAAGGCTAATTTTTCACCGCAACGAGAGCAAAGAGATCCCAAATGAACAATTCACGCGCCTCGGCCCCCTTTTAACTCTTCGGCTGTACAAGACAGGCCTGCAAAGAAACCTGCCATTGTAGCCGCAAACCCCGGGTAGTTGACCGGTCTGTACACGTACGTGGCTGGGGGGTACAGCCGGAGATGCATCATTTATCCTTGGCAATGTTCCTAAGAATTACTAAGGTCAACGATCGGACGTCAGCAAGGTTGCGCCAAAAGTGTTGGCCTGCATGGCCAATGTTGAGAAATGGGGGAATGATGGGGGCTTCCCCGCAAAATGGCTTCTGACGGCTGTCGGCAATATCTTAGTATGATGTCATCGCCGTCAGTCCCGACGCTGTACCACGGAACGCTGAGATCGGCTCAGGTACCTAGTTGGCGTCTTTTGCATTCTGCAAGAACTAAGTTGAAGGTTATTAAAAGTCTCCTAACAGATAACTTCTGCTTTCTCTCAAAAAATATGAGCTTGGTGCAACGGGTTCGAACGTGGCCGCATATCCGGTCGGATGCCGCCGTGACTCGCATCGTCGATATTATTATGTCATAAAATGAGGTTAGGATGAATGAGGGAAGAGGTCGGGATCTTGGATAGGAACTCCAGTCAGCCCTGAAATATCGGTACATATCTGCTTTTCCATGCACTGATCTCAGGGTAGTCTGGACGCCACGCAACAGAGGAGGCAGCTCACAGCAACCAACCAAGATTGCTATCATGCCATTCTAGTTTGGGTTCTGCAGTGCGAAATCTAGCTAGCAGATCATTTGCCAAGAGAAGCTGAATCTATGCTGTGGAGAAGGCTGTGGAGAAGGGATGATATGTTTGTGATAGCTCCGAGGGATTGTAAATAATTTGTTCACTCCCATGCTCTGTGTCAGCTGACACGGAAATCTTCGTATTCCCACTGCTCACCACCTCAAATTTTGCTCAAATAAACCTTTTGCGCAATCCCTGATATTTATGGATTGGACCATGAACTGCGTATCTTCATTTCTTGAGGCTCGTGCGATGCGCTTTCAATCAGTTTACTCCCACACAAGCTCAATTTTCCCGCCCTTGACTTTCGAGTTGAACCACTCATAGATCTCTACGTCCTTTTGAACCGCTCTTGCTCCATCCAAGACCCCGGTCTTAGCCAATCTCTCGGTCGCAAACTGTAGCTCCATGGTAGCCAAGTTTCTAGCGATGCACGCTCGACTTCCTGCACCAAAAGCAAACCAGTATTTCGACATGTCTTCGGTGGTGTTCAACCATCGTTCTGGAATGAACTCTTGGGGCTGGGGAAAGACGATAGGGTTGAAGTGCAGTTCGTATGCTGAACAACCAATGAGTGAGCCAGCAGGAAAGTAGGTACCTTTAAATGTCCAGCCCCCAGCCGGAACGACGTGAGGTAAGCGCGTAGGGTTTGCCATGCTAAGTCGAAGACCTTCTTTGACCACAGCGTTGAGATAAGGAAGCGCCTGAGCGTCCTGCGCATCGGGTCCCAGGTCAGCATTCTTGTTAAACTCCTCCTTTAGTCTTTGATACTTTTCGGGATGCAGCACGAGGCTGCGCATTATCGTGGCTAGATTCATGCCTGTCGAATCTGTCCCAGCAAAGATGAGATCTTTGCACTGCGCTCTAACCTCTGAATCGCTCAGCCCTATTGCCAGCAAACGTCCTGGGTATGTCGTTGATTTCGAAGTCGTATTCCCAACCAGTGTAGCAACGAACTTGTCGACCAGTGACATGCTGTCATCTGTCTCGCGATTAGGCGCCCATCTTTCGGCAGCCCATTCTATCCAAACAAACGCGATGTTTGGAAGATAAAAGAAGCGTCCTACTGCCACAAACGCATCTACAAAAGCGCTGACACTCAACACCGGCCCTTTTTCACTAACGCCGTCATAGTTTTCTCGAAAAAGGTGGGTGGATACCGCATCGACCGCCAGGCTTCGTGTGAGGTTGAGCACATTGACTGGTCTCTTGGTCTTTGCTTCTTCTTTCAGTCGGTTCACCATACAGTCTACACATCCCCATATAGCCTGTTCATTCTCACGTAAAGATTTGGTTGAAAAGAGCGGCAGCACTGCTTTCGCCCTGTGAGCCCTATACTCCTGATTGGTAGTCGAAAAGATGGTCTTGTGTCCATCAATATCAAAGTTTGCGTAGCATCCCGCTTTCGGGAAGCCCCCTTTCGATACGTATATTGCGGGTATGCCATCGGCATCATTCAGGTCAACCTCATTGGGTGAAACCCGGACGTACGGGCCGTATTGTTGGTGAAGCTTGTGAATGACGCTCGCTTCATCACCAATGTAGGCATGATAGTGAAGCCAGAGAGATGTCAATTTGGACAATATGGGCCCGGGAATATGCGCAAGTGGATGAAAATAGACCCGATAGATTGAACGAATGAATAATATAAGAAGAGGAGTCAGAGTGACTGTCAAGGCCACGTGAGCGCCTATGACGCCAAATATCAAGTCTTGAAGCGCCATTGAGGTGTAGAACGTAGGAACACTACAATAAGGCTCTTGCGGGGCTCTTAGCTTTATATAGTAGGCGGTGGTTGGTTGAGTCACCGTGATGGTCAGTGGGGCGTAACTATCAGCTGCGATAAGCGGAAATAAGGGCCTTCCCATTATCTCGTACTCCCAACAACATCTGTTCATCCTTGCAGTTCATTGCAATTCAAAATACGTTATATTGGTCCAGGCTAAATGATTGCAACAATGACTCTCCCGAATTGTCGTGATCTTCACCCAAATATTTTGGTACCTTTTACAGCACTATTAAGGGTTGATTTAGCAGTCAGCATTACTTTACTTCGATAGCACCCGATTGAATTGGATAAAGTTGACCATCTAATCAGTATCTCAATAACTGGTTACGTAGATCCGGCAGAAAACTAATCCATTTCCATAATTCCCACCGATTCTACTACTTAGCCAGAACAGCAAGACACAAATCCCTGCTAAGGAAGACCCTGTATCCAATTCCACTCCCGAGCCATCACGTACTCAGATGACGACTGTACGCTCAAAGATGACATTTCGTCGTCCGAAACACTTCGTCTCAGTGTTCAAGATAAACACCTACGTACATTTCGTTAGCTTCAACACAATCAACCGCTCTCGAACAAAACGTAGAGAAACTTACTATCGACATTAGGGTTATAAACGACCTTATACTGGTCATTCTTGAGATAGCATATCCCACCAACCCAAGTCGCAGCAACGCAGCCCTTCAAGAGCGAGCACAGATTTGCGCACTCAGTGAGTGATTTTGTTTGTGCAATAGCAATGTCGCCACCATTGAAGTCGTAGTTGCAGCGACTAATATAGGACTGGCCATTGGTGTTGAAGCGGCAGTAGTCGTTGTGGGGACAGTTGATCTCAGTCTCACAGATGGAGCTGCCGGGAGCGGGCTCCAACTCGGTCGCTGGCTTAGCTTGGGTGCCAGCGTTGACACGATCGGTCCTGCATGGTGATTAGTGATGGGTGTAATAGTGTTGAGGATGTACGTACGATATACGGGCTGCGCCAACATCCTTACCGAGAAGGTAACAGAAGTTGTCCTTCATGTTGAAAGCAGTGCAGTGTGTGTGGCGAGCGCATGCATCGGCACAGTCAACGAAAACGTTGGCCTACATTGCGTATGGAAAACCGTGAGTAATTTTAATCCTCCTTGCAAATATGTGAAGCTGTATTTACCTGGGCGATACCAATGATGGGACCATTGAAGTCAGTGGCGCAGTTCAGTTTGAAGACACCACCATTAGTGGCAGTGGAGAGACAGCTGTTCCATCGGGGGCAGGTAGGCTGAGCAGGACAGTTCTTGTTCTGTCGGGAATCAAGTGCCGCAAGAGCTGCGGTAGCGTTGACAAGTATGCCGTACTGGAATGTGTGGTCAGAAGTGTGATTGATTGGAAACTCCTTGTATTTCCATGTTGATCAAATAATTTCATGCGGTTATACGGAGTTGGAGAGACATTGATTGATATTCTTACTCACCATGTTGAAGTAGCCCGAGAGAATGGACCAGGAAAATGTGCTAGCGAGGATATGCTTCGAAGTGAACAAACCAACTACGAGCAGAAAGACACATTATATACACATGTAGGCTGTCTCGTCCCTTGATCATTATAGTCACCTCAACAAATATGCAAAAAAGTCAACTATATTGCTACCATGGATCAAAGTGGTCCGTAGCGAGTGAGAAGTGTCTAAGCAGTCAAGAATGATAACGATCACAACAAGACTTCGAGATGAGAAACGATGACGCGCAAAATAAAATCTAGATTTCTTGAACCCTTTATACGATTTCAGAACTCCAGCTACCGTTTGCAAACAATGTTCCTGGTTTTGAGTAATCCAGGGTGTAACCGCCCCGTATATAGGCCCACCGAAAGTACTCATTCAACCCACTATCCACATCTCTCTTCCATTCAAAGATATCCCAAATTCCATCACCTTCATTGTCATAGAAGGCACGGGCGCGCTCCACATCGTTTACAAGGACACTCATACCGTCAACATCAAGTGGATGCCTAGTAAAGTTGAACGTCACAAATAGAGCATCATTTTCTACCTCAATGAGCGGTTCCATTATCTGGGGGACAACCGACTCGAATTTTGCATCGGCACGCAGAGCAGCAGAAGTTTGCAACACAGAATCAAAATCCCATCGCGCTATGCCGTTCACAAAAAGACCAAGCAAGAGGCCTTGAAAGAACAGCGAAGGCCGTGTCTGAAGACTTGTACCAGGAAGCAGCAAAAGTGCCAGGATGTAATGGTGGATCCGCAAGTTGACGCCTGGAATCACAAGACAGACAATGATTGCCAGGACGAACAGGCCATACAGGCCCAGATAACGGATCAGGCGGCCTTCGAGCCAGAAACAGTATGCTTGACCCACAACAATCACAGCCAATACCAAGACGATGATTGCCAACGCCAGTTTTGCGCCAGGCTGCTGCTCGAGATCATGAGCGGTAAGTCGCGAAATTGGGATCCAGTCAAACGTATAATTTGATAATGCGCCGATCCAAAAGCCTCCGAGCCAGAACACGGCCTTTTCGATGTGGGCGCTCAACCCAGCTAACGTCCGCTTGATTGTGGTGGAGTACATTACCACCATTACGAACATGGCCGGCAACAGACGCTTCGCGAACGCTGAAATGTGATCTGGTAATACCGTCGTGTTGAGATGCAATGCCGGCGGCGGATCGGAGACGAAGCTCACATGGGCGAAGATGAGGGTGAATATGGGAAAGAAGATTTTGGGCGACGAGGAAAAGATGGCGAGTACAACTGTAGAGAGGATCGTGATGGGAAGCAGGGCTGTGCGCGGATCGGCTGGTGGCTGAAATTTGTCATCGAAAACGACGGAGAAGGAGAGCGGAAAGTACGAGTCAAACGGAATAGACTCGATACCGTGGTGCTTTGTGCCAGCAAAATTGTCATGGCCTCCCATGAGCTTGACACGACCACCGCCGCCTCGGCGATCATCGACAATTCCCGCGTGGATGGCTGCGGCGCATAAGAAGCTGTCGCCGCGATAAAGTCCCGTTCCGACAACCAAAGGACGGTAGTTGACTTGAACCGGTCCGACAGTGCGCGGATTTAGAAGCTGTACATCTCTGCACTTTGCAGGGCATTGGAAAGCAAAAGAATGGTTGCTGAACGGACGACAGTCGATGCCGTCGATTCCGCACTCGTTCTTGCGCCCCCACAATGTATCGACACAGCCCAGGTTGATTACATTGTTGCCGTCTCCGTCTTGCAGCGGTAGCTGGGCGGTCAAGAACCAGGCGAAGATGAGAAACCAGGGAAGGAGCACAGCAACGAGTGAGATGGGTCTGTTGAGTCTCTGGCTTTCAAGCCACTCAACCGGGCCGTTTTGAATCCATGGGAAATACGGGTCGATGCTTTGAATCTGAGGAGGTTGCGGCCCGCGTAAAAAATCCAGAAAGCGTTGTCGACGCGTACGCAGTTTCTTCGATGCTGGAGGAACAGTGTCTTCATATTCCATCTCTTCTCTTAGTAAGTGTGCTTCTTCATCTCCATCGACCGCGTGGTCTCTGTCGTCGTTGGCCTCATCGTCAAGTTGGGCCTCTTCCTTTTGTAGAGGTTTCCGCATATTGACCTCTGAATATTTTGGACGTTACAAGAAAAGAAAGAAAGAAAGAAAGAACTGTCAGCAAGAGGATGCGCAATGGCCATTGTTACGAAGGCCGGAGTATTACAGTGAGATGAGACACGCAGTGGGTCAGTCAGGAGGTAACTAACTCCTTCAGGCATTCCACCGATAGCAGAAACGCGTTTCTTCTCCATGTTCATCCTGGCTATTATGATCATCTTGCTATCGAGAGTCGGATGTGCCGTAAGTTCTGCATTGTGTGATGCTCGCCGGAGTATGGATATGCTTTCCATAACAAGCTCACAAGGGTTATCCTGAGTTGCGATCAATACTGTACTACTATAGGGACGAAAACTTATTGCGATTCTAGCTGTACCATTGGAGGCTATTTGAAAAATATATATATTATGTTCTTGCAATACAATCTACAGACGCAAACGATGTAATCCTTTCTTTAGATATACAAATAGACTTGACAGTTTCAAAAGAAACTTTAGCAAACTACCATAAGTACCCTCCGCACAGACCACATCTCCATCCCGCAGCACATCAATCCGGAAGGCCACCACCAACGCGTCTCCTCCTTAAAACTCCCTCTCCCTCCCCTCCAGGAATTTCTCAATCGCAACTCCCCCAAAAATGGAAGCAATCCAAGCCTACCTCCCCCAAGCCGAAGGCCTCCTCCCAAAATGGCTCCTTTTCGTACGTCTCCTCCCCCCCATCCTCTCCTGAACCCCTCAGCCCTGCACATAAAGTACACCACGCTTCAAATCACATACAACCACCTACTCAAAAGCAAAACAAAAAAGTGAGAAAAAAAAAGAAATTAACACACTCTCTTCCCCTAAAGGTCTCCGTAATATCCGTCGGAAACAGCATTCAAGCCTACAGCACACTCGCCTTCACTTCGCGCATCTACAACCCAACGCCCATTGACCCTCCACCAACGATCCCCAAGCACGTCACGGCACTGTCATCACGCACGTTTGGGACGTGGACGCTGCTTGCGTCGCTGATACGGTTCTACGCGGCGTACAATATCAATGACCCGGCCATGTATCAGTTGGCCATGTGGAGTTATGCGGTGGCGTGGGCACACTTTATGAGCGAGTGGTTGGTGTTTAAGACGGCGAGGTGGGGGAAGCCGTTGGTTGGGCCGGTGGTGGTTGCGAACACGAGTTTGATTTGGATGTTTACGCAGTGGGGGTTTTATGTCAAGGCTTAGTTAGACAGAGGAGAGGTTTTTTAGGGGGGGGGGACTAGTAATAATATCATGATGTTGATGGGACAGCTGAGCGCTTCTGGGGTACCTGTTGTAAGATTCTTCGTAGCAAAGCATTCCTTCACTTGAAATAGTGCAATCACCTTCCATTGATTGCCAGAAGCACAACGAGACCACGACACAAAGCAAAAAGCCTCCAACCAATCACGTACAATCAGCAGCCTCATTTGTGGACTTTTGACCCGCCTCGGTGGCTTGTTTAACCACTCGAGGACTTTCATTGATCGTAGCTGAAGAAACATACATGGCCCATTGGACTCCAGATTCCTCAACCCTGATGCCGAGTTTTGACGACCATATCGAAAACCATTCACGCTCCGCCTCAGCCACATTTCTTTCCTTTGCTGATCATGAACCGTTACACCATCCCTTTTCTAAAATGCATCTAGAACTTGTTGAACTGCTTAGCAGCCTTTCCCTTTCGGGGGAGGACACGGAGGACGTTGAAGCGGACGGTCTTGGAGAGGGGCCTGCACTGGCCAACGACGACCTGGTCACCGGGCTCGACACGGAAAGCGGGCGAGACGTGAGCGGCGAGGTTCTTGTGGCGCTTCTCGTAACGGGAGTACTTGGGGATGAAGTGGAGGTATTCACGGCGGATGATCAAGGTGCCTGATGTTCGTTAGCATCAAAATGCTTCAAGATCCCTGTAATCTCGCCTTGTCGAGCTCTTCTTCTTTTTTCTCTAAATCGCATCTCCAGGGCTTGAGGAAAGTTGACGTACGGTGCATCTTGGTGGACATGACAGTACCGGTGAGGATACGGCCACGGATAGAGACCATGCCGGTGAAAGGGCACTTCTTGTCGATGTAGGTACCCTCAATGGCGGTCTTGGGCGTACGGAAGCCCAGACCAACGTCCTTGTACCATCTCCTGGAGCGGGTGTTCTTGCGCGGTCCGCCGACCTTGTGGTTAAGGAAGATGTGAGGCTATCGCATCGCGTTAGTATCGAGCATGTGGTCGAATCGCGCAGTGGACGTCTAGTACCTGCTTCTGGAAAGCGCGCTCCGACTGGACACTGTTTTTCGCAGTCAGCAATTGTCGAAGTCGCTCGTTTTATCGCAGCACGTACGTGAGTTCGGTGGCCATGGTTGCGGATCGGGTGGTTTGTCGTGCTTTCGTTGTCAGTCGTTCATAATTTCCACTATGGACTCGCTTAGGAAGTGCCCATGGGCGACATGTTTTTCCGGCTCCGGTGGCTAGTGCCGCGCTAGTCCACCCACCAACCTCGGCAGGGCTTAGGGCCGAGAGGGACTGGTAAGACCAATAGAGGGGGCTCTGTTACTGTTAATACTGAGCATTGCCCCATCACTTCTCCGTAGCACTCTTTGTTTTTGCTGCAATTCGGTGCCAATATGGGAGCTCTCACCGAGACCTTTGGTGTGCACATTGATGCCAACAACTCGTTCGTGCAAGCCGCTGTTTATGGCTTCTTGCTCGTAGGCATTGCATCTTTTGCAGCACCTGTCATCAGCACCGTTCGAGTTCTCCTCAGCTTGTTTGTGCTGCCAGGCAAGTCGGTATGTGGCCTCCCAATTTACCTCGCTGGGCATTGAGTAATTCTGACCTTCCCCATTAGCTCAGCACCTTTGGACCCCGCGGTACCTGGGCCCTCATCACTGGTGCCTCAGACGGCATTGGCAAAGAATTCGCCCTGTCACTCGCAGCCAAAGGCTACAACCTCATCCTCGTCTCGCGCACGCAATCGAAGCTAGACTCCCTCTCCGCCGAAATCACCTCGAAGTATGGCCCCAAGATCGCTGTCAAGACTCTGGCCATGGACTTTGCCCAGAACAAGGATGCCGACTACAACAACATGAAGAAGCTGATTGAAGGCCTCGATGTCAGCATTCTGGTCAACAATGTCGGACTGAGCCACAGCATCCCTGTGCCGTTTATCGAGACGCCCAAGCAAGAAATGACCGACATCATCATGATCAACTGCATGGCTACACTACGCGTGACACAACTCGTTACCCCCGGTATGGTCTCTCGCAAGCGTGGTCTGGTCCTGACCATGGCTTCGTTCGGTGGCTTCTTCCCCACCCCGCTCCTCGCAACCTACTCTGGCAGCAAGGCATTCCTCCAGCAATGGTCCACGGCCCTCGCATCCGAGTTAGAACCTCACGGCGTCTACGTGCAATGTGTCCAGTCTCACCTCGTGACCACGGCCATGTCCAAGATCCGCAAGACATCTGCCCTCGTGCCGAACCCAAAGCAATTTGTCAGCGCCACGCTGAGCAAGGTTGGCAGGAGTGGAGGCGCGCAGGGTGTGGCGTTTACAAGCACGCCTTACTGGAGCCACGGTCTCATGCACTGGTTCCTCTCCCGCTTCCTGGGCGAGCGCTCGCACACGGTTGTCAAGGTCAACCGAGGCATGCACGAGAACATCCGAAAGCGTGCACTCAGGAAGGCCGAGCGCGAAGCAAAGAAGCAGTAAAGCGGGCCTGTCTTTGGCGCATGATCTACTTTTTTTCTAGGGACGATGTGACCATGCCGAAGTTATTTATGGACAACATCGCTAATTCTTCAAGTTGGCATCCCAGTGGTGCATTTACTAGTGTTGAAGTAATCCACATAGTGTTGTGATAATAGATTTTTGTTATTCGAATTACGCCGCCACTCCCCACGCGCGTTAAAGTTATACTAAAAGGGATATAATTACATCGATTTGAGCGTTCATGGTCAAAGAGTAGAGTCCCATCGTGAAACATTACAAGACAAAGCAATTCAGCGCCCCCCTCAATTACTCACCCACCCATGCTCGACCGGACATCACAAGATTCTAAGACTTTCCGTAAGCCTGGTCAACCTCCTTCTTGTAGTGTTCCAAGATGCCCTTGCGGTTGAGCTTCTGCGCAGCAGTAGTGAGGCCCTAGAAGAGCGTTAGCAATTTTGTTCCCCGTTTTCACGGTATCCATTTAGGCTTACATTTTGTGGTGTCCATTCCTCGTCAGCCAGGACAACGCCTTCAATCATCTCAAAGCTGGCAAGGCCACCCTTTTGGCCCGCCTCCTGCAGCTGCTTCAGCACAGCAGAGTTGATCTTCTTGTCGTGGACAAGCTCCTCAAGGTGGTCACCAGTGACGCCGACTTGAGCGGCAATCTTCTTGAGCTGTGGCTCAGTGGGCACAATGATGGCAATAGGCTTCTGACGGTCCTGAGCAGCGTAGACGCAGATGTTTGCGACAATGGGCGCAGATCGGTAGACAGACTCGAGCTTCTCGAGTGCAATGTACTCTCCAGCAAGCGTCTTGACAAGGTTCTTCTTGCGGTCGATGATGCGGATTTCTCCGTTGGCGTTGAACTCGCCTACATCGCCAGTCTTGAACCAGCCGTCTTCAGTGAAGGCTTCCTTGGTCTCTTCGGGCATGTCCAGGTAGCCTTCAACGACACCGCCACCACGAATCCAGATTTCACCCTGAGGAGGCTTGTTGGTGGAGAAGTATCCAGCATCGGCAAAATCGACCAGCTTCATTTCGATTGATCCGGGCATCTCGCCAAGAGCCTTCTCGTTCCAAGCTAGAGGATCCATGAGCGCACCCATGGCGCAAGTCTCGGTCAAACCGTAGCCGCTGATCATGGGTGTAATGGCAATGGAGATGAAGCGCTGGGTTTCCTTTGCAATGGGACCGCCACCGTTCATGCAGATTCGGAGCCTGCCACCCGTGGCCTCCTTGACCTTGTTGAAGACGATGGCGTCGAGAATACCACTACCGGGGAGGCCAGAGCTCAAGAGGAAACCCTTGGCTGCAAAGGCACCCCAGAACATGTTGCTCTTGAGCGCACCTCCTGCCTCGACCTTGTTGATGATGCCCTTCTTGATGGTCTCCCATACCTGGGGAACACCGACCATGACGGTGGGCTTTAGCTCGCGGATGTCACCAGCACAGTTTCGCACCGATTGATCGGAGAGTGTGCGGATGGTGCCGTAACCCATGGTGCCTCCCCAGTAGAGAACGGCGTTTTCGAACACGAACTCGAGAATGTGTGCGGCGGGGAGATAGGTAATGAGCACATCGCCAGGTCCAAGGTACTTTCCTACAATGACATCGACACCAGCGACTAGGCACATGGTTAGCATAGGACGCGTTGTGGTTGCAGGTCTAAGAGTACTTACCAGCAGCAACCACATTGCGGTGCTTGATCATAACACCCTTGGGGGTTCCAGTGGATCCAGAAGTATACATGATACAGGCCAGGTCGTCTGCCTTTGGCGGAATTGGCTCTGCGGGGTTCTCCTCGCCCAGCTTGATCAGGTCGTCAAAGCTGATAATTTTCAAGTGGGGGTGCGCCTGGGTGAGGGTATCAATGTCCTTTTGCTTGGGGTCGTTCTTGGTGCAGTAAACAACTACTCTGACGTCCTTGGCCTCGTTCATGGGTTTCACGAGCCGGGGCAGCAGCTCTGGGTCGGTAAACATGACCTTTGCTTTGGTCTGAAGCATAGAGTGCTTGAGACCCTCCTCTCCGAGCGTGTCGTAGGCAGTAACAATGGCCATTGACTGGGAAAGCGCACCTGTGGAAGTGATTAGGGCCGTGTCAGTGCATGCATGTTGCGCGTTTGCTTACCGTGGGCCGAAGCCAGCCATTGCATGCTGGTGGCGGCGAAGAGGTGCAGCCTGTCTTGTGGCTCGAAGCCCAGCGACTTGAGACCCGAGCCTACGGAAAGGGCCATTTGCTCAAACTCGACAAAACTCTTGTACTTGTAGGGGCTGAGCTCAAAGTATTGCCACTTCTTGTCGACTTCCTGCTCCTTGCCGTCGACCATCTTCTTGACCTTCTTCGTCTCCTCGTGTACATTGACGATGCGACGCGCACCGACAGCCTTTGCATTGCCAAACTTGGCGGCCGAGTGCCGCAGGATGTCGTAGAGAGTCGAGACGTCGTCGTGGGGCTTCATGATGAGGCCATCTTTGGCTGCGTTGTTGCGGCGCGGCACCGTCTCGCCATCTACCTTTTGGGCATTGGGGACTTCACAGGTGTAGGGACCAGTCCTGTATGTCTTTGCCTGGGGCATCAACTTCTTGAGGTCCTGTGGCATGATGGCGGTGTCTGCGTGTGGAGAGCGCAGAGCGTGGGAAGGGGCAGTATGGGTATCAAGGAGGAGGGAGAGGGGGACGGCAGAGAGGGCTACTATAGACAATAGCACGAGGGAGAATCGTCGCCAGCGGAGAATGGCGGATGGCAGAGTGATACAGTGCTGGGGGGGCTGCTGTTGGGGAGCTTATGGGCTTGTCGTGCTCATGTCGCTAAAAGCGATGTGCTGCACGGCCGAGCTTCTAGGCAATGACCTCACAGCCACAGCCAGAGCTGGGCGACTCAGGTGCAGCTCGGGCACGAGCCGGGTACTCCACTCTTTTTTCCTGCACCGTCAATGCCATATCTGATCTGCGAGGCTGCACACACAGACACACTCATGCGAATCCAGACATGTCGAGCACAGGCACACGGTGACGGCCACCTGTCCTCTCGACGTGCTGCTTTGGTTTCTTGCATGCTTTGTGGTAACGCGCCCGGTACCAACCACTCCGACAGCGAGCCGAGGCTGAGCCGTGGGCCAAGCAGGCAAAGTCGCGTCCCAAGACTGGCAGACTCGTTTGATAGCACTTGTGCATTGTTGTTCCTCTCAGAGGCACAGGTTAGCCAAAACCTTACTGCCGCCGCCCACCCACCCTGCAATCTGCATCCTGCATCCTGCATCCAGCGGGCCAGGCATCCCAGCCCCCGTCACCTGCGCCGTCTCCACCGCAATGGATCTGACGGCTTTGCTGGGATCAGATCCTATCGCAGACCCTGAAGAAGGTGTGTAGCAAGTCGCTGGGACCACGCCCTCGAATCACGGCCTCGAGCCGGTCCTCGGCTCGACGTATTTGTCGCCTCTCTGACATTCGCTCCTCGACCACGGCCACGTAAAGAGGGCGAGAAAGGCGACGCCCCCGTCATCATCGATACACCATGGCGCATCACGCTCACTCGACTGTGCAGAGGCATTCGTCGTCTTCTCGCAAGACATTCCTTCTCAGTCGCTCGGCTTCTTCGACTCCAAGGCGGCGACGCTCGACTTCACCGTGGCGGGCCACCAGCTGGTCATCCACCACTCCAAGAGTCTCCTGACCTCCGACCGCAAGGCAGGAACCACCGGTGCAGGTATGTGTGTCGTGCCTGTCGTGCCTGTCGTGACTGCGCTTGTCTTGGTTGCCCGCGTGGAAGTTGCCGTTGCCGTGGCCGTGGCCGTTTCCTGCGTCGTGCTTTCCCCCAGACTATGTCCCCTTCAGCTCGTCCTTGGCTTTGCTTGGGAGCTGCCTCTCCACACCCTCGTGTCATGTCCACATCTGGCCATGGCCGGCTCGTGTCGGGTGCAAAGCATATGCTTCGCGTGCTGTACGGCCTGCGCCTGTTATCCTTGCAAACAAAACGAGAGCATTCTTGCCATTGCACTCAACCTTGCGTTTGTGAGCATTTGCCGCGTCGACGTCATTGCTTACTACCCAATCAACACCAGGCATGCCTGCAACACCTGCATCTCAATCCGCATCATTCACTAACACCTGTCCATCGCAGCAATCTGGCGAGTCACTCCCCTCTTCGCCAATTGGATCGCCTCCCCCACCAATTTCCTTGCCACCAGCTCCCTCCTGTCTCCTTCCGCTACTGTCCTTGAGCTCGGTGCCGGCGTCTCTGGCATTGTCGCTCTGACTCTCGGCCCAAGAGTCGGCAAATACATCGCCACGGACCAGCCATACGTGTTAAGGCTCTTGCGCCAAAACATTGCTGAGAATCTGCACACCGTCTTCTCGCAACACAGCAAAAGCAAGAATGCAAAAGGTAGCGGCAAACGAAATGCCAAGGCCGACGACACAGCAGCGGCAGCAGCAGCAGGAGGTGCAGAAGACCGCATCACCACCATGGAGTTAGATTGGGAGACTGACTCCGTTTCCCATCTTCCTCCCGTCAACCTCATCATATCCTGCGATTGTGTCTATAATGAAGCCCTCATCGAGCCATTGAATTCTACCTGCGCCGCTATATGCAAGCTACAAGAGGACGAAACGAAGCCTACAATATGTCTAATAGCACAGCAATTGCGCAGCCCAGATGTATTCGAAACTTGGCTGAAAAGCTTCCACGGAAAGTTCTGGGCGTGGCAGGTTCCTGATAAAATGCTGGGTGAGGGACTGCGCGAGGGAAGTGGGTTCGTCGTCTATCTAGGCGTCGTGAGGTGAGCATGGCCATACACAAACGGCCAGCTATTCAGCGACGAAAAGCGCAAACCAAACCAGGTGCTTCTCGATGGTTGCTAGAGAGTAGCACTGTGTTTAGAGATGAAGCGAGAGGTTGATCTCGTATGCCGTTCAAGGAGCATAGATCGAAATGAAGAGGACGACGAGGAGGCATGTACAGTAAAAGGAAAAAATCATGAACCAGCCACGAAGGATCAAAGCAATGCACAAAACGGGAGGATGGTAGATAAAACCCTCTGGCGTTGGTGTATTTCATGGTTGCTTCGGCTATGGGATCAGGTCGCCGATAACCGGCCATCAATAAGGCAATGACATCCCCACGTTCCCCAGCACACTCTAGTCTCCCCCAGCTTCTGATCGCGCAAAGTACCGCTCCGTCGGTATGCGGCGAAAGACCACAAGCTGAAAACGTTCGGTATCAGATGCAGCTGCTGCATGCGTCCTTCACAGTGTGGGATGCATTTCCGGCAATGTCTCGTATGCTCTCTATCATCGGAGTGGACCGCCCCGCCAAGTAGCTTCAACCAGCCCCGGCCAATCACGCTCTCGCTGGCTATCAGTACAGGCGATCGTTTTAGCACACACGTGGGTGTCGGCCCTCTGCCACTGGGAAATGCATGCCCTAGCGAGCCCTTTGCCGTGGAAAAAAGTACGTATTCCCGGCGGTTGACGACAATCGTCGGCCAGCTCCAATCTCTGGCGTGTCCGGAAGTGGGCCATGGACCAGGGTCGAGGAACTGTCCATGAACAATTGTGTATTGTGGGCATTTTGGCGCCAGAGATACGGATGCATGCTCCACATGTTCTATATAGATGGGGGATGAGGACTTGTTTTCAGTTTGAGCAAGTCATCACCCAAAGCGAGCCAGCTCGACTAGCATTCCCGCTTGGACGGGTTTTTGCCATCTCCACGCCACTCCCCCGCATCCTCGATTCTGATTGCAGCATCGAAGCTCATATTGATATCACCCGTACAGGTAGCGAATTACAATCTCTTGTGACATACATCTGGAGCGATCGAATCTTGGAACAAGCAGTGCGACTGGCTGTACACCTGCATATCATCAGCCTCGACCTGCAACCTTGCCAATCTTATCAGGTCTCTTCCGACTATAAGCATCCTTATCAGACCCCTCAAGCCAGAGTTTTACAGACTGCAAAAATAAATAAATAAAGCAGCACAAGGTTAAAACGGCTCCCGCTTCCAGTGTACCGGCAGGACGGTATTTTCGACCTTTGAAAAGTAAATATGGCGGACATGATTGGGCCTGACCACACCCCACGGCGCAGCTGGAAAGACAAGGCGAGGCGAATGAGGAAGGCATTTACTACAAAGTAAACTACACCCTGTTACCATTTCAAGCCGTTGCACAGTCTGACCGCATACAGAGAGGGTCTCGTTGGCACATACGACTATGCCTTTCTCTTCCGACCAAACCTGCCATTTATGAGGAGAGAACGCAGAGCAGCACCATTCTTCGGCCTCAATGACCGTGTGCCCGTTATCCTGGCTCTCCTTCTTGGATTGCAACACTCGCTTGCCATGTTGGCAGGTGTCATCACGCCTCCTATTATCCTCTCCAATGCCGCCAACTTGAGCGGCGACGAGCAACGCTATCTGGTATCCACATCACTCATCATCTGTGGTATCCTGTCTTCTGTACAAATCACCCGCTTCCATATCTGGAAAACACCGTACTACATTGGCACCGGCTTGATTTCTGTCGTCGGAACCTCATTTGCTACCATTCCTGTGGCAACAGGTGCACTGAGCCAGATGTACGAGACGGGCTTTTGTCCTGTGGCTGCCGACGGAACGAAGCTGCCTTGCCCTGACGGTTATGGAGCTATCCTAGGCACGTGTGCACTATGCGCTTTGCTCGAAATCGGTATGTCGTTTACGAGTCCGCGCATCCTCAAGAAGGTGTTTCCACCTCTAGTCACTGGACCTACCGTTCTCCTCATCGGTGTCAAGCTCGTAACTACTGGATTCCAGAACTGGGCTGGAGGCTCTGGTGACTGTCAAAGTCGCCCTGCATCTGGTCTCTTCCAGCTTTGTCCCAACATCAATGCTCCACATGCATTGCCCTGGGGTAGTGCAGAGTTCATTGGACTTGGGTTCAGCGTCTTCATTACCATCATTCTCTGTGAGCGTTTCGGGGCCCCGATTATGAAGTCTACTGCTGTGGTTATCGGGCTTCTTGTTGGCTGCATCATTGCAGGTGCCACGGGCTACTTTGACAAGTCGACGATTGACTCTGCCCCCGTCGTGTCCTTCATCTGGGTTCAAACATTCAAGCTGACCGTCTACCCACCCATCATCTTACCTCTGCTAGCAGTCTACATGGTCTGCGCCATGGAAGCCATTGGCGACATCACAGCCACCTGCGACGTATCGCGCGTCGAAGTCGATGGCCCACTCTTCGATTCACGCATCCAAGGCGGCGTGCTCGCCGATGGCATCGCAGGCATGATCGCCGCACTGTGTACCATCACGCCCATGTCGACGTTTGCGCAAAACTGCGGCGTCGTAGCCCTAACACGCTGTGCCAACCGCAAAGCGGGCTACGCATGCTGCTTCTGGCTCATCATCATGGGCATCTTTGCAAAGTTCGCCGCGGCTCTCGTGGCCATTCCCTCGGCTGTCCTGGGCGGCATGACGACCTTCCTCTTCAGTGCCGTCACCGTGTCCGGCATCCGCATCATCAGCACCATGCCCTTCACCCGCAGGAACCGGTTTATCCTCACCGCGGGCTTCACGCTTGGCTTCGGCGCCACAATGGTCCCGAATTGGTTCTCGTTTGTGTTTACCTATAGTGGACCCAATACTGCGCTAAAGGGCTTCTACGATGCGATTGAGCTGGTGCTCGAGACAGGATTCGCCGTCGTGGCGCTTGTCACGGTTGTGCTGAATTTGGTGCTGCCTGAGGAGATGGAGGATGAAGAAACAACGGAGATTGTGGCGGATGGGGATGAGAAGGAAGGTGAGAGCGGCGAGTGGGATCAGGGTCGCAAGGGCGCCAACGGTGCAGACGTCGATGTTGAGGGAAGAGCGAGTTCGGATATTGTGGCTAGCAAGGTAGCGTGAGGGTGATGTACATGTTTTTTGTTTGTGAATGATTTTTCTAGGAATGCGGCAAAGAAAAAAAGTTTAAGAGGGAAATCGCAATGGATGGTCTCTCGCGGAGTTTGAAATTCGGGGGGCTCTTTTCATTTCGTTCATTCTGAGTAACCGGGTAGCCGGCTGTTTAAAACCATCCTGTTCATTCTTTTACAATCTCCTTACCAATCATCATGCCAGCCGTCCGTGCACCTATCGCCATCGAGCGTTCCAGTAAAACTACGACAAGCGCTCTACGCCGCCATATCTACGATTCAAGTCCATGCAAGATGGAGTGTGCTCACACGCAACACACGCACGTACACATCGTTGTGTGGAGACTTTAATAATTTTCCGCAGCTACTTACTTAGTAGCACCGTTGACAGCAAACATGTTGCATGACCTTGTTGTCCTCAGCCCTACCCGCCACAGAAAAAAAGACTGCATGCCCCAAAAAGTACATGTGTGACATGAGCATGAGACGACGACACCACGTCGACCGTTTTTTTTTCTAGTGGTCCTGACACTTACCTCCATCCAGCGGAGTTTGCGAATGAAGGGGAAAAAGGGCTGGGAACCGAGGGATAACGGATGCAATACTATTGGTAGGAAGGGGTGGGTGAAAGGGTGATGCAAGACCATGTCTCTGCGGTTGGTGTGTGTGGGATGGGAAGGGAATGGCGGCAAGGTGTTGAGGACGCGCCAGTTCCCGATTTGGTAGAGCTTGCGAGAACTGGCGACTTTGAACAGCGCACACCCCCCTCCCTCCTGCCCCCCTTCCTTCTATCTGCGGGGATTTCACTGTAATAATTGTTTTTTCTTTACATACTTGAAATGGTTTCAGGCCAGGGGGGAAACTGGCCGAGGCAAACGTGGTAAGAGTGAGGTTTTGTTCGTTCAATCAAGTGCTCTATAAAGAGTCATGGGCCAAATGGGGCTGGGGGGACCCGCTGTATTTTGGACGACAGCCGAACACGACCTTTTTTTGGGGACACATCTTTTTTTGCCACACTGTCCGAGAGCAAACGTTGTAAATCTCGGCCAGATCAACTTATGGAGACCAAATTCTTCAAGTTTGCAAGCAAGCTGGAAAAAAAGGTTCATGATGACATACGTAAGTGTGCAGACCGGAGCCGGAAGCCCGGAAGCCTTAGCGATATCAACAAAAATTGTCAGAGGCAGGATTCCTGGTGGTGCAAAGACTGGCCGGATTACAGAGTGAGCCAGATTGTATGGAATACTCTAGCATTTTACTAGCTAGGCGGGGGTATGGAGAAGCAAAGACTACGGCTAGCCGATTAGCGATGACGGCGGGTTTTGAGTGGCATCACCACGGCGTGAGCTTCTATGCCCAGTGAGGCAATCCGCCTGTAAGGACACACACACAGATTCATAGTACACAGTGCCGATAGTTCTGAATCAGACCGCTTTTTGAGGATAATCAATTTGGGCGTTCTTTTCTTTCCTTCTTCTCCTTTCCTTTTCCTCCCTTCCCCAGCCAACGGGCAGCCATGTCTCTGCCTGCCTGGTCAAGGAGCAGGCCGAGCGCGATGCGGGAATCTGGGGAAAAAAGGGCATGAGCAGAGGTGCCGGCCCTGGAGCCAGCTGCAACAGGTTGGATGCCCGCGCGCACCGCCACCCAGGCCGTTCTCGATGCCGAGATCAGCGCGAGGCCTGCGCGGAGTCCCGAAATTTTCTCGCCTCGGGACCCTGCCGCCGTAGTGAAAGGCTGCACTAACCCACTTTGGGGCATAAATTACGTTACGGCAAAAAAGGGCCCTTTGGCGGCGGCGACGCAGGCGCGCTTGACAATGCAGGTCCCAGTCTTTCGCTTACCTGCCCGCAGAGTGTTGGGATGGACAAACTGCCCGCCGCCTTATATTAATGTCGTCCTGCCCGCCGCCACTTTTGCTCTCCCCTCCATCCCAACTTTTGTTGCTCCTCCCCTCCGACTACCTTCTGCCTCGTCGTTGACTCGACCGTGGGTGAAGCTTTCCGTCGTTGCTCGAGCTCTCTTGCTCACCCCCGGAGCCCGGACTATCTTTTTCTGAGCCGCTAGCCGTCTCCCCCCCCCCCCCCATATCATTTCCTTCGCTTTCCCTACACACCACCTCACCGCTGTATCTTCCAACATGCCCTCTCACCAGCCCACCGCTGGCATGATGGCTGTCGACCCCGACTACGTCAAGCAGCCCTCCTCAATGGCAAGCACCTCGGAGCCCAACCGCAATCCCAAGTACGATCCCAAGAAGCCACACATCACCGATACCCCCATTACAAAGTCAAACTGGTACAAGCACGTCAACTGGCTCAACGTAAGTCTCGAGTTGCGTCCCTGTAATCACACAGCATTTGCTAACGTAGCGTTTCAGGTTACCTTCATTATCGGAATTCCCCTCGCCGGTTGCATCGCTGCCTTCTGGACACCGCTCAAGTGGCAGACTGCCCTCTGGGCTGTCGTCTACTACTTCTGGACCGGTCTCGGTATCACTGCCGGCTACCATCGTCTCTGGGCACACAAGTCATACAATGCCAGCCTTCCTCTTAGCATCTTCCTCGCTCTCGTTGGCGGCGGTGCTGTCGAGGGCTCCATCCGCTGGTGGAGCCGTGACCACCGTGCCCACCACCGCTACACCGACACCAACAAGGACCCCTACAGCGTTCGCAAGGGACTTCTCTACAGCCACCTTGGCTGGATGGTCATGAAGCAGAACCCCAAGCGCATTGGCCGTACCGACATCACCGACCTGAACGAGGACCCCGTCGTTGTCTGGCAGCACAAGAACTACATCAAGGTTGTCATCTTCATGGGCCTCATCTTCCCCTCTGCTGTCGCTGGTCTTCTTTGGAACGACTGGAAGGGTGGCTTCATCTACGCTGGTATCCTCCGCATCTTCTTCGTCCAGCAGGCCACCTTCTGCGTCAACTCGCTCGCCCACTGGCTCGGTGACCAGCCCTTTGACGACCGCAACAGCCCTAGGGACCACGTCATCACTGCGCTCGTCACTCTCGGTGAGGGCTACCACAACTTCCACCACGAGTTCCCCTCCGACTACCGCAATGCTATCGAGTGGCACCAGTATGACCCCACTAAGTGGTCCATCTGGCTGTGGAGCAAGCTCGGTCTCGCCTCCAACCTCAAGCAGTTCCGTGCCAACGAGATCGAGAAGGGCCGTGTCCAGCAACTCCAGAAGAAGATTGACCAGAAGCGCGCCAAGCTCGACTGGGGTGTTCCTCTTGAGCAGCTCCCTGTCATTGAGTGGGACGACTACGTTGAGCAGGCTAAGAACGGCCGTGGTCTGATCGCTGTCGCTGGTGTTGTCCACGACGTTACCGACTTCATCAACGAGCACCCCGGTGGCAAGACCCTGATCAAGAGCGGCATTGGCAAGGACGCTACTGCCATGTTCAACGGTGGTGTCTACTTCCACTCCAACGCTGCCCACAACCTGCTTTCTACCATGAGGGTCGGTGTCATCCGTGGTGGATGCGAGGTTGAGATCTGGAAGCGTGCCCAGAAGGAGAACAAGGAGGTCAACATCGTCAAGGACGAGCAGGGCAACCCAATCATCCGCGCTGGCAACCAAGTCACCAAGGTTGCTCAGCCTATGCTCAGCGCCAGCGCGGCATAGAATGTTTCCTTTATTCGATTTTAGCGATATTCGGCGTTTGGGGAGGGATGCCTTTCCACCTTTGAAGAATTGGCATAATAAGTTTGTTCTTTTTCATTTCTTTCGCTATCAAGTATCAGGACGTGATACTCAAGTACCATTAGACCGTGTATGTTTATATAGCCTTGGATAAGCAGTTTGCTTTGAAAAGTGAGCTTTACCGTCTAAATACTAAGATGTGATGTCATCATTGACTTCGCCCTTTGGATATATTTGCAGCTCTGTATTGTGACTGCTGTCGTGACATCTTCCTTCCTCTTCTTTGCCCCAACACTTAATCAGTAAGAGGGCGACTGCCTAATTCCCACCAAGTGGTCTGTGCCCGACTCTTACCTTAACCCTTCCCTTGTTTTGCACCGACTCCCCAGCCCTTTCATCCATCTCTGTTCTAAATTACTAAAAAAAAACAGTGTCTTGCTATCAACTGGCTGCCGGTTCGCTAGGTAGTTAGACGACTTAATATATCTACGATGCAGCAAGAACCCGAAGATGCTCCGCCGACTAAGCGCCGTCGACTCGATGATGTTGATTCGCCCAAAGAGGAAATGCTTGAGAACCAGCCTTGTTCGACAGAATCAACCAAGGGTCTCGATAGACCGATTAGCCCCCCGTCATTGTCGAAGCGGGTGGGGACAGCCGAGCCAACAACACGTTTCATCCCATCGCCCGTGCAGCTCACGCAGATTGAAAAGTTGCCCAGAGAGAAGAATGTCGATACGGTGTGCTTGTCCGATTTGCTGGGAGATCCCTTGATCAATGAGTGTTGGAACTTCAACTATCTGTTCGACCTGGATTTTGTCATGTGAGTATTTCCTGAACTTGAGCCCTCAGCATGGATCTATAGTTGGAGCTTTGATACTGACTGAGATGTAGGCAACACTTTGATTGGGACGTTAGGAAGATGGTCAGGATCAAGATTGTGCATGGCTTCTGGAGGGGTGATGACAAAAACAGGATGACATTACTGGTAAGTCTGATACTTTTTTCGGATATTGATTACTTGAATACTGAGACTTCATAGGAAGCAGCAGAAGAATATCCCAACATCGAGCTCATAAGTGCATATATCCCAGACCCATTTGGTACCCACCATTCGAAAATGCTCATTCTCTTCCGATATGATGACACCGCTCAAATCATTATCCATACAGCCAACATGATTCGCCGCGACTGGGCAAATATGACACAAGCAGTTTGGGTGTCACCGTTACTTCCACTCTTGAGGCATACTACATCGGAGGAATCAAAGTCAACTAGCATCCACTCTATCGGAAGCGGCGAACGATTCAAAGTTGATCTTCTTCGTTACTTGTATGCGTATGGAAAGGGTACGAGGGCTTTGACCTCCCAGCTTAAACACTACAACTTCTCGGGCATTCGGGCAGCGTTCCTTGGAAGCGCGCCATCAAGACAGAAACCTTCTGCGGCCAGTCCTTCACACACTGCTTTTGGCTGGTTAGGGCTAGACCAGATACTTTCTGGTATTCCAGCCAAGGCATCAGAAGACAGTTCCCGTCCTCACGTTGTCACTCAAATCTCGTCAGTGGCAACACTAGGTGCGACACCAACATGGCTTTTCCATTTCCAGTCCATTCTTTCGCGCTGTTCGAATGTCAATGATTCAGAAAAAGAAGAGGCGTCATCGTCATTCACAGAAGCATGTACATTATCCATCCAGCAAAAGACCAATACAGTAGGAGCACCAGAACCCAAGTTCAGCGTCGTATTTCCAACTCCGGATGAGATCCGCATGTCCCTAGATGGCTACAGTTCTGGCGGGTCCATCCACTGGAAATTCGAGTCCGCCCAACAGCAAAAACAGCTCGAATACATGCATCCAATACTCTGTCACTGGGCACCCGTATCCCAGCCCGATCAACCTCAACGAAAAGCACACCGCAGCACAGCAGCACCACATATCAAAACGTACATTCGCTTCAGCGACGAAACCCACACGACCATCGATTGGGCTCTGCTTACAAGCTCCAACCTAAGCAAGCAAGCATGGGGCGACGTGGCTAATAAAAACGACGAAATCCGCATTCAGTCATGGGAAACAGGTGTAGTGCTGTGGCCTGCTTTGTTTGCAGAACATGAGCACTCATCGACGATAATGGTCCCCGTGTTCGGGATTGATAATCCAGAGGCGGACAGCACATACGAGGCAAAGAAAGGGACCGTGGTTGGGTTTCGCATGCCATATAATCTACCACTCGTACCGTACTCGGCGGATGAGCGACCTTGGTGTGCGACGATGGCGCATAAGGAGCCAGATCGGTATGGACGTACCTGGGCTGGTTGGGGACATTGAAGGGGTACTCAGGTATACATACCTCTTACCATCACTTTGATGTTAATACGGAACGTGTTAGTCTCTGCCGAACATATGTAGTGAACGCATTGCAAACACGAGAAATAGAAAGCCAGAGTAATCCATAATAGCTCAAAAGTCCTGTTTTTTTTTTCATTTGCCCTTGTGGCATCAAGGCTTTTGCCCCATCTTTCTTTGTCCTATATCTCTCTAATTGTCGTATTTGGCCACCAACTCCTCACCAAGCTTGATGTACTCTTCCTCAGCCTTCTCTGGCGTAGTTCCAGCCTCGACCTCGTCCTTCCACTTGTTGTACTTGGCCTTGCCCTGTTGTTTGTATCTACCCGTTAGCTTTCCATTCCTTTGTAAAAAAAACTAAACTAAACTACCAAGTTCCTCCTGAACAAGAGAGACACTTCTGCCGTTCAGGCATGTACATGCCCGTTTCTCTGCCAACTTGCGTATAGGGGCGTCGTCGATTAACTTTGTTTTTCCGTTCGCGGTCGAGCGAGAGAGAGCGACGAAATGGGGGGTACATTTTTTTTTCTCCGTATGGATCTCTAGACAAGTCGAAAAGAAAAAAGTAAAGAGGGTTGAACGTACGGTAAGATCGAACATGCCAGGCTTCTTGGCCGCACTGAAATCCGTGCCATTCGCAATCTTGGCATACGCATAGAGCTACAATATCATTAGCTTTTTTTTTCATCTTCTTTAAAAACATATCTTTCTGCATAAGGAGATGCAAGTGTAGTACAGCTTGCATTGGGCCCTTCCTGAATGCCCCCCCATGCATCGCTATTGCTTTTTTTTCTCCTTATGTTGCTAACTTGAGGTATCGTTGCTTTCGGGGCGGAGAAGCTTAAGATAGTAACATAAAGAGAAGTAGGAGGAAAGGGAAGATGGGGGAGAAAAAGCATACCTGGAGCTGCTCATCGTTGCTGGGACCTTGCTTGCCAGCAGCCTTGAGCTTCTCGCCCATGGCGCTGACCTTCTTGTAGACTTCGTCGAATTTTGCGGAAGGCATTTTTCGTTTTGGATCAGAGTATTCAGACTGAGATAGAGAGAGAGAGTGTGTGTGTGGAGGTAAGTTGGAGGTGTTCTGGTGGTGGTGAGGGGTATAGTTCGAGAACAGGTTCCGAGGGATGTTGGTTTGGTGGGGCACATGGCGTGGGCACATGTGTCTGTGTTGCCCCGCCATTCTGGGCTTATGACGTTGACTGGCTTTCGGTGCTCCCCGCGCCGCCCCCTCCCCCTGTGCTGTTTGCTTGTGCAATCTAAGTTTCCCAACATGTTTTTTAGAACACTTTGGGATGCGTTTTGTATGGACGCGGGTTAGATTGGACTTTGAGACTTTTGGGGGGGTAGTTTGAGTAATGTTTGATTTCGCATCTAAGGAAAAAAAGGAAAACGTCTTAATGTCTAACTTGACATTCCTCATGCAATGTGTATGCAACTCTCATCTGACAATCAATTCCTCTCGTCTCGGGTGTTGGGTATCTTCTCCCATCGTAAGAACAAGAGCGTCTTACGGCAAATATATAAGCAGTTGTTGAGCGCGCAAAAAAAAGTCAGAAAACTGGGTATTAGGAGCATGCTTTGGGTAAGCGCTCTAATGGATGCCGTTCACACCGTTTACGCCATTGACGCCATTGGCGCCATTTACGCCATTCACGCCGTTAGTTACGGGTGATGCCTCAAGCCTCCTCCGGTAAAGCTCGCCGTCACAACTCCTCAGGCGCTCTGCTGCTTGCTCGGGGGTGATGTCACGCTGAGGCTCGGCCATCATCTCGTAGCCAACCTGGAACTTGCGGACTGTGGCGCTTCGCAGTAGTGGTGGATAAAAGTGAATGTGGAAATGGCTGCACTCAATCTCGTCGGCTGTGCCTGTGAGAGGAGCCTGATGCAGTCCCATGCCTGTATTTGTTAGCCACCTCTATTGCTGCAAACGAGTTTTGCTGACTTACTATACGGGAACTGCGTCTCAAAGAGGTTGTCATACCGCCTTGTAATCTCAGCGATAGCCTCTGCTAATTGTGCACGCTCGTCTTTTGTGAAATCCACAAGTGACCGCTTGTGCTGTTTTGAGACAATCATAATCTCAAATGGCCAGACAGCCCAATACGGAACACCGGCCCAGAAGCTTTCGTTTTCAAATACTGTGCGTGCCTTCTCTTTAGATTCCAACTCGGCATAATCTACCAGCATGTGGGAACCGCCATTTTCCTTGCGGTACTTGCTCAACTGCACAAGTTCGGTCGCGGGCTCTTCAGGGAGTGAAGTGGTTGTCCAGATTTGGCCATGAGGGTGGGGGTTAGAGCAGCCCATTGCTGTACCCTTGTTCTCGAATATTTGCATGTACCGGTACTGCGCGCTTGGTGGGGTAAGAGGGCCCTGTGATAGCGGTGGAATGTTGATTGCCGAAGCAAGCTTAGCCAGCGGCGATTTTGAATCCAGGTGCGCAACATAAATGTTCGTCCAGGTTTCTATGATTGGCACAATCTGAGCGGGTGACATGTCGGCCAGAGTGAGGTTGTGGGATGGGGAGAAACATATGACGTAGCATTTTCCAGTAACGGCTTCAGCGCGGAGCAGGCGGGAAGCAAGGGAACCATCTTTGGAGTCTGGGCGATAATCTTGCTGCTCTTCCATGACGGCACTGTAGTCGTTGACAAAAACAAAGGTGTTCTCAAACTTGGGGTTGTGCTCGCCATTAGCCCGCGTATTTGACGGACATAGATAGCACTGGTTGGAGTTAGCAGTGTAGTCATGTATGTGACTCTGCTCGAGTGCTGGATTACCTTTGGGTCATAGTCGGGGAGTGTCGTCTTCGAGGGCGACTCTTGCATGCCTCTACGGAAAAATTAGGCGTCTATGCGACAGATGCTTGTATGACTGTGCTTACTGCCATGGGCGCTTTGTCCGGTGTGGAGAAACTAATACCCAACTTCCTCGCAACAGATTGAAGCGCCTGTGGGAGATGTCGTTCAAGACAGGGTCGGTCATGTCGTCGATATTTTGCCGGTGAAGATAGTTGAGTGAACAGAGGCGGCTTTGCAGGATTTACGGAAGTACATATATATAGCGAGAGAGCACGAGACAGCGAGAATGCAGCATTGGCGGGCTGCAGGCTGTAAGTCAAGCGGTGCACGCTAACAGGGTCAAGCTTTCCCTGCCGGCGGAATGCTAACCCGATGCGGTAGCACACCCACCACGACAACCTCCGGGAGCTTGCGCGTAGAGGTTAAGGACAGCAGAGCCTCTCCATCAACCCACGATACCTGCCCGATTGGAGAAGCAGCCCGCAACCTGTCAACGCAGGGTTTTTTTCACCGAAACATGGCGGCAATGATGCCCAGTTCCGCAACCAGCGCCAATCCCTACGATGATGATGCAGTGGAGCGTGACTTGATTGATCCGGACGATGGTGCGTCGCATGCAGCAGCAGCAGCAGCAGCAGCCTACTACCCACCCCTCCACATGTACATACACGAGGCAACGTTCGACGGCAAGCTAACCATCACCAGCTACCCTCGATGACCTCGACGACCCTCTGCAAGGCACGTCGGACCGCGCGCCGCTGACGGGGAACATCCAACGCAATGCCGCCCAGACACAGTCTTACTTAACGTCGAGCATCCCGGGCGAGGACCGTCGCGCGCCAACAAACACCATTGACGAGACGGTATGGGAGACGCTTTCGAGAGACATTTTTGCCATTTGGGAGAAGATGAAGCAGGTGCTGTACCCCAAGTACCTGCTGGGCGGCATGATGCAGCGCGGTGGAGGCATTGGGGCCGCAGAGCGCGGTGAAGCAGACGGCGTCGGCGGTCGTCTCAGGAACATTGCTGGCAGATGGCCAGATGCCGATGTTATTCTCCAGGGCGGCATGAGCGAGGGACTAAGAGACTGGGACCTTTGGGGGCCGCTCATCTTCTGCTTACTGCTGAGCTTGTTTCTGTCCTGGGGGGCCAAGGGCGACCAAAAGGACCTTGTCTTCTCAGGCGTCTTTGCCATGGTGTGGATTGGAGAGGCTGTAGTGACGCTGCAGATTAAGTTACTGGGCGGCAACATGTTCGTACATGGTTCTCACGCATTCACGAGACGGATACTAATGGTATTACAGCGCCTTTTTCCAGTCTATCTCGATTATCGGCTACACTCTGTTCCCGCTTGTCATTGCATCGGTGCTCAGCGCTGTCGGCATACCCGTCATAGTGCGCATACCCGTCTACATAGTTCTGATTGCATGGTCGTTGGCAGCTGGGGTGAGCATCATGGGCGGATCTGGCGTAGTGAGGAACCGAGTCGGGATTGCAGTATACCCCTTGTTTGTATTTTACGTTGCGCTGGGCTGTCTCTGCTTTATCAGCTAGTGTGGGATGGGCTACTATGGGCTTGGTGTAAAAGTAGTGTCCTATTTGGTAGGGGATGCATGACACGGCCCCGGGCGTTCAGGGCAAGCTTGATGAGATGGCGCCGATTCGGCCCTGGACATGTTCACATATGTAAATTCACATGGACTATTTGCAGCGCCCCATACTAGAGCGCGTTTGACACGCCTTCATGATGCTGCAAGTCTGACGTGCATGCACCAAAAACCGCCCAATACGCACGAGTTGCAGCGACCCGCGCCTTGTGTTTAGGCAGGTCGTTTTCCCCACTTCGTCATTGGCCTTTGCAGCGACAACGCACTCGACCACGACGGGCAGAAGCGCCAATCCTCTGCTCCTCGGCGAATCACTCAGCACACAGAGCGTGGGCTCACTGTTCACCACCCACCTCTCACTGCAGACGCGTTCGGGACTGGCCCTGGCATTTCTCAGTCACCGCTGCACCGGCGCATTGCAGTGGAAATTTGGGACGCGGCGCTTTGACCGACTCCACTGCAACTACTAGACCACTCGATCGACGACCGACTTCCCTCCGCTGGAACAAAGCAAGCCACGGCAGGACATTCCCATTCCCATTCCCAGGGCCTTTTGTCCCCCCTTCTGTCCTTGTTGACATTGTCGGGTAAGACCTGCCGCATCCCATTGTCTGACCTTCAGCTCGCCGCTAGCCGCGCCAGAGCATCACCTGCGCGACTGTCGCACCTGGCCACCGCAACTTGACCACTCCTTTACTGCCCTGCACTTGCCATTCTTCCTGTTGACCCAATCCCAGCTACACCAAGCCTACAAGGCCGCACTCTCGGTCCCCGAACCATCGTCTACGCCACCTTTGAACCCGACTATCCTCGCTGCGCAGCGCATACATCAGCCCCTCCCTGACGCCTATAATAGCACCCAACCTGTGCCATGGCCGACACACCGGAGACACAGCACGAAGCTGCTGCCGCCATCACCTCGACCCCCGCAACCAAAGACATCACAGGCACAGCACCTACATCTCCTGCGCGGAGCGACAAGAGCAGCGATAGTGAGGGCAAGAATGTGAGGGAGAAGCTCAAAGACACCCAAATTGATGCGCCGCCCACATCGAACACCGTTTCCGACACCGACCAAGCTACAAAGGACGCGACCGACGGCACCATTAAACCCGGAGACCAGAGCGTCTCGGGATCAGATAGCGAGCGCGGACGGTTACGGCGGAAGCGCAGCCGCGAAGACTTTGAGGATGATGTCGATGCCGACAAGCAGCCAGAAAAGAAGATTGAGCGCCATGCGCGCAAGAGATCGAGAGACATTACCAAAGATCTGGAGGCTGGCATGCCTGTCAAACCTGCCGGCAGCGCTATCTCGAGTATCAAGGAAAGCGACACAGACGAGCATATGACGTCGCCCAGCAAGAGCGCATCGACCACCACTGCGACAGCTGTGACCGAAAAGAGGTCTGGTTCCAACACAAGCCCAAAGAACAAGCGATCACGCGAGGAAGCCGAAAACGACAGTGAAGATGCCAAAGGCACCGAAATCGGAGCAGCAAATGGTGATGCGGCTCTTAGCGAAGAGCGTGATTCCAAGCGGCTGCGAGACAAGGAAAGAACCCAGAGTATCACAGATACAGAGTCAAAGACCAAGGTAAGTTAGCTAACATGCGTCTTTTCTTGGTCGCAGCGAAATTGACATTGATATTAGATTCCACCAGGGAGCGGGTTCGCCAACACTTCTGCATCATCGCCTTTCGCTGCCATGGCAGCCAAACCCCAGCAAGCAAAGACCTCGGATAAGCCCGACTCACTACCACAAACATCTGATGACAAGTTCAAGGCCTCTGGTTTTGGTGGCTTTGCAGCCTCGACTACATCTCCGTTTGGTGGACTTGGTGGTTCCAAGCCTAGCACTGGTTCGCCCTTTGGCGCAGCAAGTGGCAACAAACTATCCTCGTTTGCTGGAAATGCAGCCCCATCGACGCTGGGCGGGGGTGGATTTGGAGCGCTTGGCAGCTCTGGTACATCCTCCTTTGGCGGAAGTTCGTTTGGCGGGTCACTAGGCGGCGGATTTGGAGGTCTAGGTGGTGTAAAGACAATCGGATCCTTTGCAGCACCTGGAGGCAACCTGGAAATCAAGGGCTTGAAGGAGAAGGAGAAACCTTTTGGGGCAGCAGCAGACGACGAATCTTCCGAAGATGAGGACGGCGATGACGAAGACCCGGAAAAGGGTACCGAGAAAGAGGAACGGCAACGGCAGTCGAGCCAGCCTCTTCTTTCGCAACACCGTAAGCTTCTGGCTGTCTATTGTGAATGATAAAGCTAACTTTGACAAAGCACCCGAGACTGGAGAAGAGGGCGAGCAAACCATCTGGACCGGTCGCGCAAAGTTGTACCTCATGGCTGGCGAAGGCTCAAACCGAGCGTGGAAGGAGCGTGGTGTGGGAACGTTCAAGTTCAACATTACTGTGGATGAGCCCAAAAAAGCCCGCTTCGTGCTCCGCGCCGAAGGTACCCACCGTCTACTTCTCAACGCTGCCGTTACGCGCAAGATGGTATTCGGAGGCGATGCACAGGGCGAAAAGCCAAAGGATGGACGCCTGCTCTTCAACTCGCCCAATCAAGACGGTGAGCTGGAGATGCACCTACTCAGGGTAAGGACCCCTTTTTTTCTTTTTTTTCCCTTATGGCAATCCTTACTTTTTATTTTGTTTGGAATAACTAACATGGATGTGCGCAAACAGATGAAGGCAGAAAACGCCAAGCAGCTCTGGGAAGAAGTGACAAAGGTTCAAGAGGAACAGTTGTAGGAAGCCTTTTCTCTAAGCCTTGAGTGGGTTTTGTCCTCTTCTCCACCATGACCTAGCATGTTTGTTGCACAACCCTTGGGGTTGTTTTTATCTTGTTATTTCTATTTCTTGTTTGGGACAAGAGAAAGAGATATCGAGGAGAAAACTGGTATGGTGGAGAGGTTCATTTTTTAGGTGGTGGGGGAGGGGGGGAAGGGAGAGACATTCCATGACGACAAAACTTATGAGAGGCAATGGGAGAAAAGGGCAAAACCAAAGCAAATTCAAGGCATAAAGGCAAAAAAAAAAAGGCATGGAATGACGGACATGTATATGATGGTTTCTTCTCTGTGTCTTTCTCTTTCTCTCTTTTTTCCCCTAGTCCCCCCCTCTTTTTTGACTTGTCTTCTAATTCCTTTTTCGGCTTGTAAAAGGCTGGGGGTGGATATGAAGGAAGAGAGGACGGAAAAAAGGGTGGCAGATGGGGGAAAACAAAACACAGTCATAAAGGGTGTGTGTGTGTGTGTGTGAGAGAGAGAGAGAGAGAAAAAGGAATTGCTTAGACCCTTTTTTTTTTGCTTTATACCAAACAACGTTTTTGTATGTGTTATCTTGCTTTTTTTTCATCCTTCTTCTTCTTATTCCTTTTCCATTTGCTTTGCTTCGCTTCAACTGCGATTTCCTGGTTCAGAAAGCAAGAAACAACAAGGAAAAAGAAGAAGAGGAGGACGAGGAATGGGGGGGGAAATGGACACGGTTTTCATCATTGTCGATTCCGAGTCTTTTTTTCTTTCCTTCTTTCTCTCTTTCTTTCTCTTTTGTTTGTTTTCCGAATGCCAAACGATTTAATGATGGAAGGAAGGATATATCATAGAAACTTAGAGCAAGAAGCCGTACACATGTATTAATGAGGATGAAGGGATTGACGATTTAGAAAATTTCAAGTTTTGAATGAGATTCAAATATGGAGAGTGGAGAAGTGAAGAACAAACCCCTTTTGATTGCGTTCTTACCATTCGTCCAATTTGGACATGAAAGGAGGAAGAAGAGCATGTCAAGGTCTAAAGGCCCAGATCTCCAGCTACACCTACTGATTGTAATACTCCAACCCAAACCCCAAAGCCTTGCACTGCGCCTCCTCTCTAAACCCCGTCATACCACCCCTTTCACCCACATCCAACGCCTTCAGCATTGGATTCTTGACATCAACCGGATCCCAAATTCCCTGCACCTCAAGCATGACAGTAGTGTTGGTAAAACCCCTAGCTTTTAAGAAGGCAGGATCGGGGTTTGGATCTCCTGTTCGGGCGAAAGCAGACCAGGAATCGAGGACGAATTGGGAAAAGGGAATATCGTAGTCATCGCGGAGCGGTCTGCCTGTTGAGACGACGGTGCCGAAGACGGTGGTTAGTTCACCGGAGTGGCATTTGTAATCTGGTTTTTTTTTTTGGAAATTAGTAAATGGGAGTAATTCTTTTTTTAAGGAAATGGAATTGAGAGCGCAGATTCTGTTCTTAAAAGGAGAAACTGGGAGTAGTGAGGACTTACACGGTAGATTTGGGTTGCCAAACGGGTGGTCTGGTGTGATGGGAGCTTCGCAGGCCGGGGGGTTGGGACTCCAATATCTGAGTTGAAAGGATCTGTCGAATTCGTAGGTGTAGACTTTGTCGAAGATGCGGTTTGCGGTTCCGGTGTAGGCAGTGCTTTGCCCCAAACATCTGAACTGGGCGTCTGTGGCTACCCTTGAGGTGAGGTTGAAAATGGCAAGCGTACTGTTGGCGATATCTGGAAGAGGAAAGGCGTTTGAGGCGAGAATGGTGGAAGCAGGGTAGCCTTGAGAAGATAGAATCGCGGAGAGGTTGGAGGAGGTTGGATAGGATGTAAATGGCGAGCCGTCGTCGTGCATGGTGCCCATCATGACAGGTTGTTTTATTTTGGGTGCTGATGGGTTAAGAAGGAGGGAGCTTGTTAGCAATTTACCATCAATGACTGGGAAGCTAGGAGACTGTCAGCTTGCTATTGACGCAGGCACTCTCCATGGAACACCATGATAAGAGAACTGACTGACCCGGCAGCGTTTTTTGCATTGATCAATGACCATGGATCCACCTTGCGTAGGCACTGGACCGTATCCTCACCCTGGAGCTGCCCGCACCCCACTTCAGCGACGAGAGCCTGGGCAGGCCCGTTTTGTTCTGCAATAGTCGAGTAGTTTGAAAAGGGTGTCGCGTAGGCCATGCCCTGAAGATTGCTCATCATGATTGAGCGAGCAAACTTGTCTCGTGCCAATGGCGATGCCAGCAAGGCTCTTACCAAAGCCGCTCCTGCACTCTGTCCGAAGACGGTAATTCTGTCTTTGTCGCCGCCAAAGTCACCAATGTGAGCACGAACCCAGTCCAAGGCGGTGACTACATCGCCGAGACCATAGTTTCCTGTCAGGGAAGAATTACTTAGGGCAAGACCGCCGAGGGTGGACAGGCGATAGTCGACGGTCACGAGGACAACGTCTCCTCGAGATGCCAGAGAGGAGCCGTCAAAAGTAGGATCACTTGCTGTTCCAGTGAGAAAACCGCCGCCATGCAGCCAGACCATGACGGCCTTGAGCTTGGGGGTTTTGTTTGCAGGATTGGGGAGATATGGGGTCCATATGTTGAGGAAGAGGCAGTCTTCAGCATAGACGTTTGGGTCTGGAGAGGCAGACGAGACCTGCATACATATGGGGGCAAAGTTGAGTGCCGTTGTGCTTGAACCAGGCGTAGGGGGTAAGTATGTCGAGTAGGTAAAGCGGGCTGGGAAGGCGCCAAACTTGATGCCAAAGAAACGAAATGACGGGGAAGAGTCATCCCGACGGCCAACTATGGTAGCGTTGTTAGTCGTGACGGCGATGCGGGGTAGGGAAGTGGAAGCAGCCGTGGTTGAGCACAAAACAGGCAAGTGCTTGTCACACGGGTAGTGCCCCAGCTGGCCACGAGTGGATATTGCTGTGCACTGTGAAGTTGAGTTGCCGTCCACCCAGAAGAGGTAGTCAGGACCAGCAAGTTTTGCATAGCGGAGGTATTCGAGATAGGCCGAGTCTTGGGCATAACTGTGGGGGTTCCAGAGGGTGGTGTCGAGAGCAGCGCATTGGGAACGAGCGGCAGAATGGGTGAAGGGGGTGCTTAGCAGGATGCTTGCAGCCCGTCTACTGGAAGCCTGGCCATAGAGGTCATTGTGAGTGATGATGGACAGATCAGATGCAATTGACTGAGGGGTGGGTACGCCAGATGCGCGGGCAAAGAGGAGCAGATGGAAAGCCGAGAGGAGGCCCAACAGCGCAGCCATGACGAAGAGGGAAAGCGAGCCTGCTCGCATTGGCACGTCTATCACGTAGCATTTTATATATTAGCCCACGGCCCGGCATCTTGAGTGTGCGACGGCTAGTGTCGTCCGTCGGACGGTAGTGTTGAAGGAGAATTAATTAGTCGCGGGAGAAGTAGTCGAGTCGAGATGTGGCATAGTGGTAGAAAGCGGGGAAGAGAGCGCTCATTGGAAGGCGGCGGCAGGGAAACGGGCACGCGTGACCGACTGGCCGACAAACTCCGTCAGGGTCATTGTGGACGCAAGGCGAGAGAGGGCAGGACGACGACGACGACCAGGCAGTCGTTGCCCGGGGCTTGGGTCGCAAGGGCCCGTGAGCACAAAACAAAGCAAGGGAGGGTGGTGGCTGGCGTGTGATATAAGTACCTAGCATCAGCACACATGCTAGCCAGTACGGCATGGCAGGCGGCCCAGCTGCTGCAGGCCGTTGGCAATGACGTTTGGGTGGCGGCGCAGTGTTTCAGCAGCGCGCGCCCTGTGCCTGTTTGCGATTCGCGGCCGGTCGCGTTGCCTGGCCGGGGGGACGGCGGCACCGCGCACACTGGCTTGTACTGTACATGGACACAGTGCAGCGGCGCTTGCACGCATGCACGCGCACCGCCATGTCCAGCTGGTGGGCGGGCGCGCGCAGGCCAGCGGGCGGCGAGGGCAAGAGAGTGAGCGGGCGGCGAGGGCAAGAGAGACGGGCGAGCGGGCGAGAGGGCGAGAGGGCGAGAGGGCGAGGCACAGGGCGGGCTCCGTCACAGCAGCAGCCAGTGCCAGCCAACGCCCGGACTGCAGGCGAACTCGATCTGCGCGCCCAAGCAGACAGCCCCCGGCCACCCAGCCATGGCGGCCGCGCTGATTGGCCAGCGCGCCCGGTGCTGCCTGCTCCACCGAATCCGCTGCTGCCGTTTCTTCTCGTCACACCCACGCCCAAACGTCGACCCCCCAGGCCGACCGCACTTCCTGCTCCCCCCATCCCATACCAGCCGTATCATTCACCCTCGCGCTGGATGCGTCCATGTCCCCGTCGTCCATGGCGATGCAGCCTCTCCCCCTCCCCCAGAGCCGCCGCCGCCCTCGCCTCCACTCCGCCCGCGTTGTGGCTCGGGCTCGGCGGCGGCCGCCACGGCCACGCCAGCCACATGCTGATATCTTGAGACCGCGCTTCCTGCAACCCCTCGGTGACTAATGCCCTCTAGCCCTCCCTCCTGGCCTTGTCCTTGGGCGCCGCGCACAGACCACGCGCGCTAAGCCCGTCTCGCTCGCCAGCGTCGGGGCCATTCATTCTCTCACGACATTCGCACGCTCGATTCTCCACTGCCATTCTGACTCCCATACCGCACCACGCCCCCGTTGCCCTCACCAGCCTGCCCTCCATCTGCTCTGCTAACGTCGCAGCCGCTGCCGCCATCCGCCTCGACGGCCACGAGTGCGCGCGCCCTCTCCTCTGGTGCCGCTGTCTCCTCTCTCCCCCCTCCCAGCCGACTGCTCCTTCCGACGCCGCCTCGAGCCTCGCATCCTCAACCACCCTGCCTGGCCACCGGCGCACCTCATCACGTCTTGCAAAACGTCTCAATAGTCTCTCTTCATGATATCCGCGAGATATCGCCTCCCCACTGACGTCTCCGAGCCCGTGCTGTCGCCCTCTAGCTTGCTCGCTCGCGCTGCAACTGGACACGCAACCCTCTTGCCCTTGGCTGCATCCGCTCCATAAGCGCCTGGAATCCTCCCATCTCCAGCTGTTTCGTTGGTGCTGCCCACTCGTTCCGTCTCGAGTTGCCGTTGGTAGCTCTGCCCTCCCTGTCCGCGTCCTGGGCGTCATGCGATCCCCACAACACACATCTTGAGCACCCACTACACACAAACACCACTCCTCAGTACCGACCCGGCCTGCCAGATTATGACAGACGTCTCGGCGGTTCAGGCGTATGCTGACCCTCAGCCGGCTCCCCTCGCCCTCTACGCTGGTCCTCCGCCACCCGCCTTTGCCCAAGCTTCTCCACCCCTAGACGGCGTCGTTGAAGAGGAAGAATCGTCCACAATCAAGTGCATCTGCGGCTACGCCGACGACGATGGCAACACGGTGCTGTGCGAGAAGTGCGACACGTGGCAGCACATTGTATGCTACTACGAGTCTGCACAGCATGTGCCCGACGTGCACGAGTGCGCAGACTGCTTGCCGCGCCTGGTCGACGCAAAGAGCGCCTCGGAGAAGCAACGCATCCGACGAGAGATGCACAACATTGGCGAGCGCAAAGGCCGGCCAAAGGCGTCTGCAAAGAACCCCAAGAAGCGCCCAAAGGACTCGCTCGTGCCAATGCAGGCCAATGCCTGGCCTACGCAAACCAACGGCGACCTACACTATCCCCCTGACCGCAAGAGCGGAAGCCCACGAGACCAGCCTCCGCCAAACAAGCGGCCCAAGACTAACCATCGCTCCTCTGCGTCTATGAGCATGGTTAGCCAAGCGCCAGCTCTTGCGCCCACATCACGCAAGCGAGGCGCGTCTATCCTGCTCAACGGCCACAGCCCCGTCAAGTCACCATCGCATCCCGACGGTCCCGTCGAGGATTACTCGTACGAGTTTATGCATCTCTACCGCCAGCCTGAGCCGCCTTCTGCAGAGTCCAACTCGTACACGCGCATCGATGTTGCCAACGACATCGCCATGTGGCTTCAAGACCCAGAAGCGCTCGCAGAGGCAAGCGGAGGCAAGAAGCCACAGGACATTTTTTCACGCATTGACAGCACCATACAGGATCTCGAAACCAAAACTGCGCCAGAAATCGTGAAACAGACAGATGTCGACTCGGCTATACTAGCGCATGGCCTTCACCCTCAGTGGCACTTTATTACAGCCGAGACACCAGTCCCTGACGGAGGTTACGTAGGCGAACTCAAGGGTCTCATCGGCCGCAAAACCGACTACTATTCAGATCCGTCAAATCGATGGGATCTCCTGCGACATCCCGAACCATTTGTCTTTTTCCCTCCCCACCTACCCATCTACATTGACACACGGCGCGAAGGCAACATACTCCGATACGCCAGAAGGAGCTGTAACCCCAACATGTCCATGAAGATTTTGATCGACTCGAGCAACGACTACCACTTTAGCTTCCTCGCAACCCGAGAAATCAGCCCTGGAGAAGAACTCACCGTCGGCTGGGACATTGACTCTGAGGTACAAAAGCAACTGGCCAAGGTCGTCACCAACGGCGCCAAAGAGGGCTTCAGGAAGATCCAGCCTTGGGTGTCTTGTGTCCTCGCAAACTTTGGCGGTTGTGCTTGTGACATTTCAAACGGCAACGAGTGCCTTTTGGAGCGAGCCCGTCGCAACAATCCCGTCGCAGAGTCAGCCAAGACCAAAGGCAAGAAGATGAAGAAATCTCAAACGTCCCCTACAAGTACTGGCCATGCAACCAACAGCCGTGCAGGCAGCGAATTGGCCAACCGCGACATTGTTGACGACGACCAAATGGACGCCCGCTCTACGTCTGGCTCCCACAAATCAAGCAGTCGCGACATTACACCGGCAACCCATGTTTCCCTGGATGGCGACCTCAAACTATCGGAGCGTGAGAAGAGGAAGATCCAGCACCAGGAGCTCTTGTTCCAGAAGCTCGATCACGACGAGCACAAGGGAAAGAGGAAGCGCACCAGCGCTGGATCTAACCTCAACACACCCAACATTTCATCTTCTGTAAGAAGTCTCCCCAACATTCTCTACCGCGTCTTTCTAATTCCAAGCAACAGAGACGCTCCGGAAACCCCGAGCCTTCGCCGTCTGCTCGTCATCGGGAACACAGCCACGGTGTGGCCCGCAAGACTTCGGGTAGCTCTATAAAGACAAACGGGCGTGCACCGGCCAGACCGAAACCCGTCTATGTGGATGCGTCGACGCAGACGGCACAGGATGACGGTGCAAAGCCACTGGTTTGCATCAAGCCGCGCCAGTTGAAGCCCCCAATGTCTTTCAAGCGCAAACTTTTACAGCAGGCTCAAGAGGATAAGCTGCAACGCGAACGAATGCGGTCGACATCTGTGAAGATGGAAGTCCGATCCCCGGCTCTGAAAGACGTGTCGTCAAACAAACCCTCTCCACTGCCACCATCGCCACCGCTCGAGGAGCCTTCTGCAATGGATACATCGGCCGAGCCTGTACCTGACACGAGGCAGCACAAGGAACTCACTCCCGCCAAGGAGCCCTCGCCCCAGCCTACTGTAGATGTTGAGATGACGGATTCTGAAGTCGCTGCTCCCAAGCTTCCAGAGCCAAAGACTGAGGAGCTGCCTGACGCACCTAGACCCCAGACTCCGCGCGAAACCTCTTGTCCACCCAATCACCCATCTGCTCCGCCGTGGTCGGCCTCAATACCGACCGAACAATCACCAAAGTCGACAGCAGAATTCCCACCTCAATCTGCTGACATGGAAGTCGAAACTCCTGTAAAGCAGGATTCGGCCAGTGTAGTTAACAATACCCCCACCACTTCTGCATCGAGCTCTGCGCCCGTAACCGAGAATGCCGCTGCGCCCTCTCCAGCCGCATCAACGATTGCGTCGCCCTTCTCCCCTGCTGTCAACAGTGCCGTCAAGGCAACGCCAGCACGCAAAAAGCTCAGTCTAAGTGATTACACCAATCGCAACCGCAAGACCAAGTTGGCTCAGACACAGTCGACCGGTTCAAATGCCACGCCGCCACTGACTACATCGCAATCCACAAGCTCTCCAACGCTATCGACAGCCAGTCTTCCAAACACAAACTCTCCACCGCCCAAGGCTGTGGAACCTGTCCTGGCACCCGTAGCAGAGGAGCCGAAGCCTACCGAGGTATCCGTTGCACCTACTATTGCGGCTACTTCTACTTCGATATGAGCGACATGATTCACGATACCCCCCGCGCTTGTTTTGCAACCAGTTTTTACGGGCCGCCGGGCGACTCGCGTGGTTTCTCCTTCTCCTTTTTTTTTCGGAGTGTAAAAATATGTAATGATTATAAGTCGAATGATTTTTCTTCCCACCCCCCCCTTTTTTTTTCTTTTTATATTCTATGTTCTTTATCCAGACGACTTGAAGTGTTCGGTCTCGGGGTCTTGTTCTTTTTTTTTTGTTGTTGAACTCATTGATTTGATGTCATTGAAGGGCGACGGGGGGTGTGGGAGAGGTTTGATTCAATATGACGTTTGGAAGGAGGACAATAAAGGACTTAAATACTACAAAAAAGAACAAAAGGCAGGACAACTTTTTTCTTCGCCGCGAAGCGAGAGCGAGTTCGAGTATTTTATTTGATTGTTACAAGGTGCAAATGAAGTTGACTCGCCTAAGTGAGGACGGTGTTGTAAGCAGATGATTGCTTGATCACAGCGAAATAGCCATTGTTGACACGGATGATAAGTCCTGTCTTGTCGCCCTTGTATATTTTCTCGACTGGTCTTGATTTCTTGATAGATATGGAACTTAGTAAGAGATGAGCACGCCTCGATCATCTTCTTCCATCTCTTGCCTAAGATATGTACAGTATATCAAGTCACTTCTGACTCAGAAGTACGAATTATAAAACATACAGACATTTGGATGAAGATAATCTAGCAGCAATGCATATTTTCTCCTGCAAACCCCCACCTTATTCGTCATTGATCATCCAGGAAATGCCCTTTTCTAAACCCATACCTTATCATCCAAATACGCCATGGAAAAAAAACATTTACAAAATAGAAGAAGAAGAAGAAGAGAAAATTGGGTATTACATTCCACACATGCAAACCTACAACGCCTTACCTCGCCCTACCATCCCAAACCAAGTTTACAAAAGAAAAAAGAGAAGAGAGGAAAAAAAAAAAAAAGACTCCCATTTTCCCTTTACCAACCCCCAACATTTACTCCCCACTCTCCGCCCGGCCCCTCGTCATCTGCTTAGCAAACACGGCATCAAAATAGCCGGGGACGTCCTTGTCGCCCCGTGCCGCATCGCCAGCAGCACGCCCCGTACACTGAGCGCGCGACTCAGTCTTCAGCGCTGGTCCCTCTGGCTCCTGTTTAGCGGGCGCAATAGCGTCCACATTGGCACGTCGGGCTTGCGAATCGCCCGTCGGACTCAATTC